GCACGCCAGAAACCTATGATTGATGGTTCAAATCCCGGTTCCCATCGATTATGTTTCTAAGTTTGTCAGCACCATACCAGTGTAAGTGGGTTTCACCAAAGTGGTAAATATCTGAGACCTGCATCACTTCAGGCTTTCCTCACACATTAAGCGGACACGCCGTGATATAACTGGAATGCTGTTAAAAGTGGCGTTAAACGCAACTCACTCACTCACTCCACCCTTGTTGAACTTCTCTTCTATGTCCGTCCTATTGACCAATCAGATTCCAACTCTCATATCACTTGCATTTTCTTCCAACAATGGATCTGATCGATAATAAAATCTATATTGTGATAAAACGGATCTTACTTCACAAAGTGCATCAAATCACGTGAACACTTTGATTAAAAACATAAAAAGATTTGTAAAATATCTATTGATGCTGATTTGGCAGTACACATGCTTTGCAAACCCTGCGATCGAGTGAAATCTGCACGGCAGTTTACGCACCCCATGTCAATTTTACTTACACCATTTTGATTGGACTATGCATAGACTCGTCAACAACAGTGTGCCATAACATCTTGCATCACTAGCAGGATGCCAGAGTAACATCTTGCATCACAAGCAGGATGCCAGAGTAACATCTTGCATCACTAGCAGGATGCCAGAGTAATATCTTTCATCACAAGCAGGATGCCAGAGTAATATCTTTCATCACAATCAGGATGCCAGAGTAATATCTTGCATCACAAGCAGGATGCCAGAGTAACATCTTGCATCACAAGCAGGGTGCCAGAGTAACATCTTGCATCACAAGCAGGATGCCAGAGTAACATCTTGCATCACTAGCAGGATGCCAGAGTAACATCTTGCATCACAAGCAGGATGCCAGAGTAACATCTTGCATCACTAGCAGGGTGCCAGAGTAACATCTTGCATCACAAGCAGGATGCCAGAGTAACATCTTGCATCACTAGCAGGGTGCCAGAGTAACATCTTGCATCACAAGCAGGATGCCAGAGTAACATCTTGCATCACTAGCAGGATGCCAGAGTAATATCTTGCATCACTAGCAGGGTGCCAGAGTAACATCTTGCATCACAAGCAGGATGCCAGAGTAACATCTTGCATCACAAGCAGGATGCCAGAGTAACATCTTGCATCACAAGCAGGATGCCAGAGTAATATCTTTCATCACAAGCAGGATGCCAGAGTAATATCTTGCATCACAAGCAGGATGCCAGAGTAACATCTTGCATCACAAGCAGGGTGCCAGAGTAACATCTTGCATCACAAGCAGGATGCCAGAGTAACATCTTGCATCACAAGCAGGATGCCAGAGTAACATCTTGCATCACAAGCAGGATGCCAGAGTAACATCTTGCATCACAAGCAGGATGCCAGAGTAACATCTTGCATCACAAGCAGGATGCCAGAGTAACATCTTGCATCACAAGCAGGATGCCAGAGTAACATCTTGCATCACAAGCAGGGTGCCAGAGTAACATCTTGCATCACAAGCAGGATGCCAGAGTAACATCTTGCATCACAAGCAGGATGCCAGAGTAACATCTTGCATCACAAGCAGGATGCCAGAGTAACATCTTGCATCACAAGCAGGATGCCAGAGTAACATCTTGCATCACTAGCAGGGTGCCAGAGTAATATCTTGCATCACAAGCAGGATGCCAGAGTAACATCTTGCATCACAAGCAGGATGCCAGAGTAACATCTTGCATCACAAGCAGGATGCCAGAGTAACATCTTGCATCACAAGCAGGATGCCAGAGTAATATCTTTCATCACAAGCAGGATGCCAGAGTAACATCTTGCATCACAAGCAGGATGCCAGAGTAATATCTTTCATCACAAGCAGGATGCACAGAGTAATATCTTGCATCACAAGCAGGATGCCAGAGTAACATCTTGCATCACAAGCAGGATGCCAGAGTAACATCTTGCATCACAAGCAGGATGCCAGAGTAACATCTTGCATCACAAGCAGGGTGCCAGAGTAACATCTTGCATCACAAGCAGGATGCCAGAGTAATATCTTGCATCACTAGCAGGGTGCACAGAGTTATATCTTGCATCACAAGCAGGATGCCAGAGTAATATCTTTCATCACTAGCAGGGTGCACAGAGTTATGTGCAGGTTGTGAAGGACAACATGTTGTCACAGACAGATGACAACTCACTTGTAGAGAACCAAGTTAAATGAAATACTGTTGATATAAAATTAGATGTTCAGGCATCACTGAAGATCTTGTTCAAAGTGTTGTACTTGTTTATTGACTTCACTGCTAAATCAAAGTGAACACTTTGATTAAAAACATAAAAAGATTTGTAAAATATCTATTGATGCTGATTTGGCAGTACACATGCTTTGCAAACCCTGCGATCGAGTGAAATCTGCACGGCAGTTTACGCACCCCATGTCAATTTTACTTACACCATTTTGATTGGACTATGCATAGACTCGTTAACAACAGTGTGCCATAACATCTTGCATCACTAGCAGGATGCCAGAGTAACATCTTGCATCACAAGCAGGATGCCAGAGTAATATCTTTCATCACAAGCAGGATGCCAGAGTAATATCTTGCATCACAAGCAGGGTGCCAGAGTAACATCTTGCATCACAAGCAGGATGCCAGAGTAACATCTTGCATCACAAGCAGGATGCCAGAGTAACATCTTGCATCACAAGCAGGATGCCAGAGTAACATCTTGCATCACAAGCAGGATGCCAGAGTAACATCTTGCATCACTAGCAGGATGCCAGAGTAATATCTTGCATCACAAGCAGGATGCCAGAGTAACATCTTGCATCACAAGCAGGGTGCACAGAGTTATATCTTGCATCACAAGCAGGATGCCAGAGTAATATCTTTCATCACTAGCATGTGCACAGAGTTATATCTTTCATCACTAGCAGGGTGCACAGAGTTATGTGCAGGTTGTGAAGGACAACATGTTGTCACAGACAGATGACAACTCACTTGTAGAGAACCAAGTTAAATGAAATACTGTTGATATAAAATTAGATGTTCAGGCATCACTGAAGATCTTGTTCAAAGTGTTGTACTTGTTTATTGACTTCACTGCTAAATCAAAGTGAACACTTTGATTAAAAACATAAAAAGATTTGTAAAATATCTATTGATGCTGATTTGGCAGTACACATGCTTTGCAAACCCTGCGATCGAGTGAAATCTGCACGGCAGTTTACGCACCCCATGTCAATTTTACTTACACCATTTTGATTGGACTATGCATAGACTCGTTAACAACAGTGTGCCATAACATCTTGCATCACTAGCAGGATGCCAGAGTAACATCTTGCATCACAAGCAGGATGCCAGAGTAATATCTTTCATCACAAGCAGGATGCCAGAGTAATATCTTGCATCACAAGCAGGGTGCCAGAGTAACATCTTGCATCACAAGCAGGATGCCAGAGTAACATCTTGCATCACAAGCAGGATGCCAGAGTAACATCTTGCATCACAAGCAGGATGCCAGAGTAACATCTTGCATCACAAGCAGGATGCCAGAGTAACATCTTGCATCACAAGCAGGATGCCAGAGTAACATCTTGCATCACTAGCAGGATGCCAGAGTAATATCTTGCATCACAAGCAGGATGCCAGAGTAACATCTTGCATCACAAGCAGGGTGCACAGAGTTATATCTTGCATCACAAGCAGGATGCCAGAGTAATATCTTTCATCACTAGCAGGGTGCACAGAGTTATATCTTTCATCACTAGCAGGGTGCACAGAGTTATGTGCAGGTTGTGAAGGACAACATGTTGTCACAGACAGATGACAACTCACTTGTAGAGAACCAAGTTAAATGAAATACTGTTGATATAAAATTAGATGTTCAGGCATCACTGAAGATCTTGTTCAAAGTGTTGTACGTGTTTATTGACTTCACTGCTAAATCAAAGTGAACACTTTGCTACTGGCCCTTATTCAACCATGGGTCATTACTGATTCATGACTTCAGGCAAAACTTAATCTTGCGACTAACTCATTCAGTGGAGTGGGTTCTGTTGGGCAGTAGTGACCCTCACGTCCAGGTAATCAACTGGATATGGCCCTCCCCAGATTCCGTCCAAAAGCAGTTTCACAAAATTAAGTCAGAAACTAAGCCAATATCCAAACTGATTAATCACAAACCCCTGCTTGCTTACTGATCCTTGTTCAGAAGTATTTCTCAGCAGCTGAAGCCCTTTACCATGTGTGAATGTGGTGAGGTGAAATTGGGTTTAACATTGCATTCAAGGTTATTTCACTGCTACGATGGTCCAGATGGGGTTGTACTGTTTTGCATAAAACAACTGAAAAATGCTATCGTAAACATAAAATGAGTCAAATTTTTATCATAAAAGATTACAGTAAGATGTCCATAAAAAACTGCGTCAATTAAAGTTTTACTGTTTATCGTGATCATGCTAAAATCTTGAAAATGTTGTACATAACTAAATCTAACAACACAACAGAACCAGTCAGTGTTTGGTATTTACAAAACACAAATTACAATAATTAAATAAAAGCAGAATCAGATGTCCCCATGTTTCCCTACATATAGACTCACGATCCACATTCACATAGAGATGATGTCACATTTTAGATTCAACTTGACAGCTATTTGCACGTCATTTTTTAACAGGGCCAGCCATCATGGCTATCATAAACAGTTTTCTGCAATTTTAACTAAATAGTTAACGGGGACATAAGTTAACCTGGGACTAAGGATTAGGTGTGAGAATCAAAACAACAACTCACTTCAGTTTCATATCACTAAACCCAAGGATCCAGCAGGTACTTATTAAAATAGAAACTTAATGAATATACCACAGAAAATGTGTTGGTCGCGGAAATGGATGACTTTGTGCCCTATTCTTCACGTCAGTTTTTGTCTACATGATACCTCAAGGAGACTTGTCTCCTTGGTTCAATACAACGCAGTCAGATCCTTGCCACACAATTGTATAAAGGCTGTACCTTGTTATGAATGGCGTGGTGGCCTCCATCATGATCTTCTTCTCAGAGAACACATGCTCCTGTTGCCGAGTGTCCATGATATGCTGTTTCTTAAGGCACTTCAACGCAAACGTCTTGCTTCTGTCTCCGGCCAGCTGAACCTGTATGGGTGGAAGCACGAGTTTTGAGTTTAACTGAGTTTTGTTTCTGTACTCATTGTAGTCAAGAACACCAAGAATGACCTTTGCACCTTGCACCCATAAGCTGAATGGATCCAAGATGTGGAGCATGCTGAGCCAAAGATGTAACGGAGCTATCATACTTTCAGACATTCAGGGTTAAAAAACTCCCCAAATTTAAGTAAGAACGAAAACAAAAACCTGAACAATATAGTTACTTTTGTCTTGGTCCAGGGTTGACTGAAAGTTAATATCCTAAATTTCCTTAAGGCAAATGATCATCAAAATAAAAATATCTAATATTTATTATTTTCTGATTTAGGGCAACTCGTCAGTAAAAGAAGAAAATATTGTTGGCCTTGCTACATTCCATTAGCTTCTTACAGAATGTGTCAGGAATGCTGATATGGTTGTTCTGAAGCAGCCATGAATTTCAGTAAAGAACAGGGAGAAGTGGAAATATAAGCACTGGCACTTTTCTCTAAATGAACACAAGCTGTATTGGTGTTTTCTCAAAAGGATAGAAACAGTTATAAGAAGTAGATTATTTTTAAGTTCTTGTCACATCTAATTCATGTGCAGTAGCTGAATCAATTCATCTCCTCTAACTGCATCACCCCCAGCATTATCTGATGGCGTTTCACAAGGCGGATGTTAATGGCTAAGATGAGTCAATACTGTGGGGGAAATGTTCTCAAATCACCACTACAGAAGAAACACCTCGTAACATGTTGCTAAAATGGTGGTGAGGAATGACCTTGGCTGCTAGATACCATTGTACAATTATATTGACTGTTAGCTACTACATGAACATGACCTCCTGTCTTAGATAGTTAAAAACATGGCATTGGTTGCTAGATACTGCTGAAACATAGCTTTGGTTGCTAGATACTACTGAAACATGGCATTGGTTGCTAGATCCTGAAACAAGGCATTGGGTGCTAGATACTGAAACATGGCATTGGTTGCTAGATACCGAAACATAGCTTTGGTTGCTAGATACTGAAACATGGCATTGGTTGCTAGAGACTGAAACATAGCTTTGGTTGCTAGATACTGAAACATGGCATTGGTTGCTAGATACTACAGCAACTTGGCATTGGATGGTAGATACTGAAACATCGCCTTATTTCTGCTCAGATTGGAAAAATCAACAACACAGGAATTTGGCCAACAAATTTAACTATTGTTTCAAATATATCCACGATATGGTATCTTTCAATGAATGGCAAAATAGCCAATTCCTTCCAGTGATTTATCCACCTGACTTAGGGCAGGAGGCACTCACCTTTTTGCAAACACCTGGTATCATCACGGTTTGATATTGATTTATAAATGCATGCTTATGGTATAGTTAAAATTGTACAAAAGACAGCTTTCAGCAGAGATTTCTTATGATTATGGAAAGGGTTTAGTCACTATTATATTCTGTTACATAATGTTACTACAAAGACACTGGCTACTATTAAAATGTTGGTTACTAGAAAACTCATGTCTTCAAAGACTATGGTTATTTAGAATGCTGGTAAACTGTGTTGGCTTTTAAAAAAACCCCACATGTCTTTTGATGTCTGTAAGATTAGGGATCTGAACGTGTGCTCATCCTTGTATAAAACAAATACTTCGCCACCTACTACTTATATATATAAATACTCTAAGTCACACAAGGATGTAAGCATGGATGCATAAAAATCATATTGAAAAACACAGCTGGCACCTAAGAGGCTAAGAAGGAACCAGATGTGATGCTGGTGCAATGACATTGGCCACTGAACACATTGATGGAAGATTTGGTTTACACGTTTGTCCATGATTCCCAACCATGATGCCATTAGAGTGTATATTGACCTGATTACAGAGATCACTTACTGATAATGTGTAAGCAATTCCCGAGCTTGGTTTTGTCCCTGAATCAATTACTGTAACAATGAAGAACCCGGTCTGAGTCTCTAGGCTATTGTCTAGCAAGTCTATAGCTATAAATAATCTTGTGACAAAACACTAGCCAGTGAATCTGCTCCATTCATTCAAAGAGTCGACCACCGTGTTCCCCTGACTGATATCTCGAGAGAAATACAACAGTTGTCATGGTGTACCCAACTCAAGTGAAGCTGATCAGATTACCACCAGAAGAGTTGGATCATTACTACACTTAAGCATAAAACTGTGCAGTGGATTTACTTCCATCAATCCACTAAAAAGCTTTAAAGAATATCTTAAGAGCATTTCGGTTTAAATTTCTGCTGAGTAATTGATTTTCTTCAAGGCAGGATGCAGCAGCTTGTATGATGGTGGGAATGAAAGGGTCAGCGAGTGGTCAGCTATTTAGTCCATACACTAACAGATTAAAGGCTCACAGATTAGGACATTAATACACTGAGTTGCTGATACAAACTGTAGGTGGGCGTCTCGAAAGGTGAGACAAGATGGCTGCTGATTCTATATCGCAGGGAACCTTTCTTTGACAAACTGGGAACTTGTTCAATAGATTGCACTTCAAAGGCAACTGCAGCTATGGTTCCATTGTGGTACGGAGGCTGGTGAGTGCAGTGTCTACAGATGTGACCAGTGTAGGTCAGTGGTACAACCGTTCTGCAAGGTGCCAGTCTCGTGATTATCCTTTTATACACACATAAACAGCCAGCCCCAGATTTACTCCCCAAAAGCTAACAGTAGAGCTTTACCAATTCAACACGCCCAAATCCACCCATGCCAAGTGTGGCTATGATGTCAATATCTTCTAATTTGACGTGGCGGAATTCTGCATCCACCTTCTCTTGCTGCAGCGTCTGTAGTGAGGCCTCAGTCCCGCTCTGTCTGTAATGTATAGCAAGTACATAGGGTTAGCAGATGGAGTCAACACACACGTACATAATCTACAGCAGGGACAGTTAGCAGGTGCTTACTCCCTCACAGGGGTACAGTATTACAACACACACGTACATAATCTACAGCAGGGACAGTTAGCAGGTGCTTACTCCCTCACAGGGGTACAGTATTACAACACACACGTACGTAATCTACAGCAGGGACAGTTAGCAGGTGCTTACTCCCTCACAGGGGTACAGTATTACAACACACACGTACGTAATCTACAGCAGGGACAGTTAGCAGGTGCTTACTCCCTCACAGGGGTACAGTATTACAACACACACGTACGTAATCTACAGCAGGGACAGTTAGCAGGTGCTTACTCCCTCACAGGGGTACAGTATTACAACACACACGTACGTAATCTACAGCAGGGACAGTTAGCAGGTGCTTGCTCCCTCACAGGGGTACAGTATTACAACACACACGTACGTAATCTACAGCAGGGACAGTTAGCAGGTGCTTGCTCCCTCACAGGGGTACAGTATTACAACACACACGTACATAATCTACAGCAGGGACAGTTAGCAGGTGCTTGCTCCCTCACAGGGGTACAGTATTACAACACACACGTACGTAATCTACAGCAGGGACAGTTAGCAGGTGCTTACTCCCTCACAGGGGTACAGTATTACAACACACACGTACGTAATCTACAGCAGGGACAGTTAGCAGGTGCTTACTCCCTCACAGGGGTACAGTATTACAACACACACGTACATAATCTACAGCAGGGACAGTTAGCAGGTGCTTGCTCCCTCACAGGGGTACAGTATTACAACACACACGTACGTAATCTACAGCAGGGACAGTTAGCATGTCCCTTCCTCACAGGGGTACAGTATTACAACACACACACACGTAATCTACAGCAGGGACAGTTAGCATGTCCCTTCTTCACAGGGGTACAGTATTACAACACACACACACATAATGTACAGCCATGGAAATCACTGACTACAGTCACCATCATCTGTGTTAGCAGAGGACCAGAAGGCTACAGAGAGCAAGGTAGTGAATCTGTCGGCTAGGAATTATGTAGTAGCCACTACTCTACTTCACTCCACAGATTTTATGTTCTAACATACTACTTAAATGTCAAGGTTCATGATGAAATACAATATGAATGTCATGGTCTGTGATGATATACTGCATAAATGTCATGGTCAATGATGATATACAATATGAATGTCATGGTCAATGATGATAAACTACATGAATGTCATGGTCCATGATGAAATACAATATGAATGTCATGGTCTGTGATGATATACTGCATGGATGTCATGGCCAATGATGATATACTACTTAAATGTCAAGGTTCATGATGATATACAATATGAATGTCATGGTCAATGATGATATACTGCATAAATGTCATGGTCCATGATGATATACAATATGAATGTCATGGTCTGTGATGATATACTGCATAAATGTCATGGTCCATGATGATATACAATATGAATGTCATGGTCTGTGATGATATACTGCATAAATGTCATGGTCCATGATGATATACAATATGAATGTCGTGGTCTGTGATGATATACTGCATAAATGTCATGGTCTGTGATGATATACTACATGAATGTCATGGTCTGTGATGATATACTACACGAATGCCATGGTCTGTGATGAAATACTACACGAATGTCTTGGTCTGTGATGATATACTGCATGAATGTCATGGCCCATGATGATATACTACATGGATGTCATGGTCCATGATGATTTACTACATGGATGTCATGGTCCATGATGATATACTACATGGATGTCATGGTCCATGATGATATACTACATGAATGTCATGGTCCATGATGATTTACTACATGGATGTCATGGTCCATGATGATTTACTACATGGATGTCATGGTCCATGATAATATACTACATGAATGTTATGGTCCATGATGATATACTTCATGGATGTCATGGTCCATGATGATATATTACATGAATGTCATGGCCCATGATGATATACTACATGGATGTCATGATCCATGATGATTTACTACATGGATGTCATGGTCCATGATGATATACTACGTGAATGTCATGGCCCATGATGATATACTACATGGATGTCATGGTCCATGATGATTTACTACATGGATCTCATGGTCCATGATGGTTTACTACATGGATGTCATGGTCCATGATGATTTACTACATGGGTGTCATGGTCCATGATGATTTACTACATGAATGTCATGGTCCATGATGATTTACTACATGAATGTTATGGTCCATGATGATATACTACATGGATGTCATGATCCATGATGATTTACTACATGGATGTTATGGTCCATGATAATATACTACATGAATGTTATGGTCCATGATGATATACTTCATGGATGTCATGGTCCATGATGATTTACTACATGAATGTCATGGTCCATGATAATATACTACATGAATGTTATGGTCCATGATGATATACTTCATGGATGTCATGGTCCATGATGATATATTACATGAATGTCATGGTCCATGATGATATGCTACATGAATGTCATGGTCTGTGATGATATACTACATGAATGTAATGGTATGTGATGAAATTCTACATAAATGTTATGGTCTGTGATGATATACTGCATGGATGTCATGGCCAATGATGATATACTACTTAAATGTCAAGGTTCATGATGAAATACAATATGAATGTCATGGTCTGTGATGATATACTGCATGAATGTCATGGTCCATGATGATATGCAATATGAATGTCATGGTCTGTGATGATATACTGCATAAATGTCATGGTCCATGATGATATACTACATGAATGTCATGGTCTGTGATGATATGCTACATGAATGTCATGGTCTGTGATGATATACTACATGAATGTCATGGTCTGTGATGATATACTACACAAATGTCATGGTCCATGACTATACTATAACAAAAACGAGTCCCTTGAGGGTAACTATTGATCTGTCACTGATGGTCGCTAAATGATGGCCCAACACCTGCCCTCACTGTGAAATAGTCAATCAGTGTGTGTTCATGGCTGTCTGTAATCATCAATCAATAAGCTGCCTGCAATTAAGCCTGTCCCGGCTGTCCGCTGGTACAGTGGTACACATGGTCTGTGTACTTTAACCTGACTCACCTCTGCTCATTAGATACACAAGCTTGACTGTTTATATCCTAACACATAAGATTCCTTCCTAAATTAAGAAATGGTTGTGACATTGCCGTCTACTTACAGAGATAGTATTTGATGGATGTCATTTCATTGATTATATAAGATGGCAAATCAGATTACTGTCTGCATCATAAACGATCATTCAAAAATTGACTTGAATTTTCTTGACATAACACAAAAGCCAGCTAAAACCTTTTAAAGCGCCATATAATTCAAATTCTTAAGTATGACTCAAGTAAACAGTGTGAAAAGCATGATCCACACAAAACCTAGCCTTACCCTAGTCAATAGTCATCATATCAAATGTGATCAACCTTTCAAAAGTCCGATATTACAGCACACAGTGACCAAGCTGACCCAAGCTGTTGATCCATTTTGTTGACCCATCACAGGAGCTTGCTGTAACTGAGGCCCTGACCCATCACAAGAGAGTGCTGTAACTGAGGACGTGACCTTTGACAGGAGCTTGCTGTAACTGAGGCCCTGACCTATGACAGGAGTGTGCTGTAACGGCAGCCCTGACCTATGACAGGAGCATGCTGTAACAGCAGCCCTGACCTATGACAGGAGCATGCTGTAACTGAGGCCCTGACCTATCACAGGAGCTTGCTGTAACTGAGGCCCTGGCCTATGACAGGAGCATGCTGTTACAGCAGCCCTGACCTATGACAGGAATGTGCTGTAACTGCAGTCCTGACCTATGACAGGAGCATGCTGTAACTGAGGCCCTGGCTTATCACAGGAGTGTGCTGTAACTGCACCCTTGGCCTATGACATGAGTGTGCTGTAACTGAGGCCCTGGCCTATCACAGGCATGTGCTGTAACTGAGGCCCTGACCTATCACAGGAGTGTGCTGTAACTGAGGCCCTGGCCTATGACAGGAGCGTGATGTAACTGAGGCCCTGACCTATCACAGGAGCATGTTGTAACTGAGGCCCTGGCCTATCATAGGAGTGTGTTGTAACTGAGGCCCTGGCCTATCATAGGAGTGTGTTGTAACTGAGGCCCTGGCCTATCATAGGAGTGTGTTGTAACTGAGGCCCTGGCCTATCATAGGAGTGTGTTGTAACTGAGGCCCTGACCTATCACAGGAGCATGTTGTAACTGAGGCCCTGGCCTATCACAGGAGTGTGTTGTAACTGCCATACAGGTATCCATCAACAGAACAAGCAAGCTTACCTTACAATGTGCATCTCACATTGCAGCAAAGCAAAGCTCATCAAATTTTTAATATATGGGGAAATTTTATACATGACTTTTATGCAACAGCATAATGCTTTGACATTTTAAAGAGTGCACACAGCTGAGATGTGTCTTAAACTTCTCAAGAATACACTAGGTTTAATCATTTACTGAAGAATCCCACACTGCAATTCTTGTACCAGTACCATATTGTGAGGTTATGTATCCATGCAACATGACATATCTGCATCAGGGACAACTGACATTGTTCCACATACACTAAGTCTGCAGCCTGTTACATGAAAAACAATCATATGCATCAATAATAGATTGTGTCATGACCACAAACGTTTACACAATAAATGTTCTCTGCTTAATTAAACTGATTACAAAGATGCAAATATGATTAAAATCTAGTGTGAATGAAATGTCCCAAAATACCAAGGGTTGGTTGTGTATGCAAAGATGAACTTCCTTAGAAATGACCATTCAGTGACCTGACCTCCATGAAGGTCACTCAAAACCTCATCAGTTCAACTTCCTCAAGGTGGAGCTATACTTGATGTGATATCCCTGAGATGTCCTCACAATGCATGAAAGTGCAACGCAGTTTGTCAAATTCAGACTAAACCATAGGCATCCCTATTGACATAGGGCTCCTGAATATTAGGAAACAAAACTAGTTTTAGTAGAGATATAAAAGAATACTATCTAAAGTAAGTAATCAACTCTACAATATTGTCTAAAAGAACCTAACAGTCCATACTGAGATGTGTTGATCTATATTTCTACTAGCTACCAAAGTTCATGTTTACTTCAGAGTCTTTATAAGTACACCAGTTGCCTTTGGTGGCGTTGCCTGACTAGACCCTGTGGGCGCTGCCCTCTCGCTGCAAGACACAGGGAAAAACATCACCCTACAGTAGCACGGCAGACCATTAATAAGTCAGAAGTCTGGGACCACCTGCTTCTTCCATGAGGAAGTAACAGAGGCCTCTGTGCTGGACAGTTATGCAGTGTGCTATTAAGAAATAAGAAAAGTTTGAATAACTCGCTTGATGTATAGCTGCCAACGGATTCTTCATGAAACAAATGGCTTCTGTGACAGTTTCAGGGAACTTCAATTTATGAGACAAAATAATGTTAACTGGTTAAAGTTTTTATCAACAAGCTTTTCAGTTTCCATGCTCTTTCAAACCACCTGAGTGATAGCCATGTCAAATAATTGCCCTATTCGATTTCATCTTTTGAAAATACAAATGACAGAGAAATCTAGCTAGGCATATCCCATCCATCACTTTCATTGTAATCTCTAGATAAATTAACTTGTCAAAATTTACTTTCTAAACTGCAATGCTGCCTTGTTCTACCATGTCCAATTTGGGATTTACAAAATTTACCTATCATTTATTTGTTTCTCACTGCCTACAATTGATTGAGTGACTGTTAATTGGCTGACTTTGCTAATTGCATAAGAGACATCCTAGGCCATCTTCCAGTAACAAGTCAGAATCTAACAGATCTTGTTATAGCTGACAAGACAGATGGTGGTTATTAACTGTCATACTGAGTAAATCCAAACATACAAGTGTGCATGAAGATCAAGCCATTACATATAAGGTTCTTTGATCAGGAGAGATAAATAATGGGGAGTCTGGTGAAGAGGTAGAACACCTGTCAGGTCCACTGAATCCAGAACCATCTACTAATGTATTTAAGACCTAGGATTACAGGAGGTCAGGTCAATCCACACCACATGCATGTAGAGGGGCCGCCTTGTTGGAGGCAGATCAAGGGCAGCATTAGCCGGGTCTAAGAGTCTTAACCTGCCTGTCACATGCTCACCAGCCGTGAGAGCAGCCTTTGAGGGGAACACTACATGCACAGTTCAATCCCCTTTCATTGTGTCCTACAAAAGGCAGTCTTTTACAAGTAAGCAATAACCACAGGAATTCACAAAATGAAGAGATGACTAATATCGGTAATGTTTGCAGGAACCGTGTAGGTCATGACTACCGGTAGCTCTGTCAGGCAGCATGCGAGAGAGCAGCCCAAGCCACAGGCAGGGCATCCAAGACATTCTACTGATCAAGAATCAAGCTACAGATGTCAAGGAATTACTTTGTGTTAACTTTCTCCATACGAACTACACCTGATCGTTGATGTTCTTTTATTGGCTTGGCGATGCTTGAAATCCTGAGGATCAGGAAAGTATTAGATCAGACTGGGAGTGATCATGAGTGGATGGACACTCACCAATGGTATACGGAATTGGAAATAAGACAAATGTCCTAGACTTGACTGGCATGTGTGTCTGTATCTCCTGATGCTGTGCCAAGACAGGACAGAAGGTGATCAAGGAAGATTGGTGTATTGAGCAGTACGATGGCCATCCCTGGACCTCCTGATAATGTCACAGGGAGACAAGCGGGATTGGAATAATCAAGAATGGATAGACTGTTAGCCAATATTGTCTTCAAACTGAAGGCAATGTTGTGAAATCTGGGCCTTGGAGTTAATTGCAACTTCTTGTATGATTAGGGGAGGAAGGGGTTGGGGTTGGGGTTGGGGTTGGCTGTGGGTGTTATTTGGGGATGGCTTTGGGTTGAGTTGGAGGTTGGAAGGGCTATTTTGATTGGATATGGAAAGAGGTGGGAAGGGTAAACATGGTTCAGTGAGGTGGGAGGGGCTGGTATGTTTGGGTGAGGAAGGAGGAGTGTATGTGGTGGGAGGGGCTCATATGATTGGGTGAGGAAGGAGGAGTGTATGTTGTGGAGGGGCTGGTATGTTGGGTGAGGAAGGAGGCTGTATGTGGTGGGAGAGGCAGGTATGATTGGGTGAGGAAGGAGGGTGTATGCGGTGGAGGGGCTGGTATGATTGGGTGAGGAAGGAGGAGTGTATGTGGTGGGAGGGGCAGGTATGATTGGGTGAGGAAGGAGGGTGTATGCGGTGGAGGGGCTGGTATGATTGGGTGAGGAAGGAGGCGTGTATGTGGTGAGAGGGGCAGGTATGATTGGGTGAGGAAGGAGGAGTGTATGTGGTGGGAGGGGCTCATATGATTGGGTGAGGAAGGAGGAGTGTATGTTGTGGAGGGGCTGGTATGTTGGGTGAGGAAGGAGGCTGTATGTGGTGGGAGAGGCAGGTATGATTGGGTGAGGAAGGAGGGTGTATGCGGTGGAGGGGCTGGTATGATTGGGTGAGGAAGGAGGAGTGTATGTGGTGGGAGGGGCAGGTATGATTGGGTGAGGAAGGAGGGTGTATGCGGTGGAGGGGCTGGTATGATTGGGTGAGGAAGGAGGCGTGTATGTGGTGAGAGGGGCTGGTATGTTTGGGTGAGGAAGGAGGAGTGTATGTGGTGGGAGGGGCTCATATGATTGGGTGAGGAAGGAGGAGTGTATGTGGTGGGAGGGGCTGGTATGTTTGGGTGAGGAAGGAGGAGTGTTTGTTGTGGGAGGGGCTCATATGATTGGGTGAGGAAGGAGGGTGTATGCGGTGGGAGAGGCAGGTATGATTAGGTGAGGAAGGAGGGGTGTATGTGGGGAGGGGCCAGCATGATTGGGTGAGGAAGGAGGGGTGTCAGTGGTGGGAGGGGCTAGAGGGGCTAGTATGATTGGGAAAGGAAGGAGGGGTGTATGTGGAGGAGGGGCCAGTATGATTGGGTGAGGAAGGAGGGGTGTCTGTGATTGGAGGGGCTAGAGGGGTGAGTATGATTGGGAAAGGAAGGAGGGGTGTATGTTGGGGAGGGGCCAGATTCGGTGAGTTTATATTAAGTGTAAACTGTGCAGAAAAGTAGTCATATAACATCAAACACATATATTCAAGTGAAATGCTTGCACACCTTTTAATGACACAACAACACTTGGAGACAAAATGAAAGCATTGTGAAGGGGTGAACATTTAACTGCAAAAGAAAAGTGAAGACAGGAAAGAGTTGAGGGACTCACCTTTGAGCACCGCGGGCTTCATCTCCATAGTCCCGATTCTTCAGTTCATTCACGTCACCTATAAGTTGGGTGAAAGACCTGCAGAACAGGATGAGCACCTTCAAACACAGTCACTTCTACATGGTAAACAAACATGGACGATTTCTATATGTCAACAAACACCAACTTCTATATCATTGTACATTGAGTTGTTGCTTCTTGTCACATACTTATTTGATCAAATCAGTGATGATGATTTTATGCAATATTCCAGCCATGTCATGGTGGGGAACTAGAACGCTCAGATGAACACAGTTGCCAGGTGGGAAATTGAACCTTGGTCCAGAGCATGACAAGAAAATGCTCCTCCACCCACCGGGCTATCTCCTGACCATTTGATAAAGAAACTCCTGTATGAAATTATGTCAAATGTATGCTGATCAAAATGGTCACCATTCAGTGTCCGCTAGATGCATTACATACAACTTTTTTTTGTCTGTTTTGTACAAAATGATGAAAGTATGGATTACTAAAACATAGATATTTGACAAATCATTCAAAATAGAACAATTAATAAAATGATCATTGAGGATAGATCCTATGCATAAAATGATAACGAAGAAATGATAATTAGAATTCTCAATAGAATAAAAACAGTGGGGTCCCCAAGCTTGTTAATTGTTGTTGAAGAGATAACATATCATGAAAATTCTCCAAACGCCACTGTTTTTTCTCAAATTGGACTCTTTTTGCAGTAAACGTCACTTGATTGAAATGTACTTGTCAACACAAAATAAACATATATTTTTACCTCAATAATCTGGAAAATTGCATTCAGTGGTTCATTTCTAAAAGAATAATGAGAATAACTGATGTTCTTGATCAATATGTAAGTGTACTTTTAAATGTTATATATTAAAAAGTATGAAATAAAAATTATATTTTTTGTTTTAACTCCAGACCACAAAACAGTAAGGTATTGGGGTCACAACCCCAAAATATAGACTATACTCATTTGTTAATAGCTTTGTTTCCTTTTGTACAAAGCCTTTTGGCAAAATACATTCAATTTTGTGTCCCACAAACACATTAGTCTGGCTCTTAGAATTTGTTCCAAACTACAAAGATATTGGCCTTATCTGACTGGTGTGAGTGATGCTCTGTATGTCACAAGAGCGACCACAGAGTGGTACAGCAACCTGACCATCACACCTCATCAGAGCCCAGCACACCCTGCACAATCATTTATTTGATTTTGATCATAATGCCAAAATAATAAATACACATTTTCATCTGGTGTAATTCCTGCTAATCATAACTGATCTATCACAGGAAACATTTGTCTGCCACTATGGCCATGTATTGACTGAACACTGGGTATTGATCAGGATCTGAGCATATTGAGGCAGTGGCCTTGTCTCTGTGATCAATTGTCCATTATGCAGTGTTATCGAATGATCAATTTGAGTAACAACACGTAGAATCAGTGTTGTCATAATCCTCCACCGAGACAGGATCGGATAATTAGTCATTGTGCAAGAACGTTACCATCAGACATATTGATGTGCACTGCTTTAGACCCGCAGGGTAGATGTGTGCATGTCGAATGTAGTAAGGTTTCCCAAATCAGACAGAAGATAATTTTATGTTTTGATTCCACGCTGACTGTAATAACCATCTCTGCTGGATGACTGCATGGAGATGATTGCATCTCTGCCCCACTGGTTGCTGTGATTACAGGCTGCATTCACATGGGCATACACAGCAGTGGCCGGCACAAGCCATGCTAATTCAATGTCAGCAGGTGTCTGATGACAGAGGACAGGTTCAGTCTCAGAATAGGAATCCTCACATGATGTCTTACAATATACAGTAATATCTGCCTGCTTGTATTCCCTGGCTAGTAATATCATTCTTGATGCCAATTTAACCAGGACACTTCTTCAAATTACTAACAAGGGAAATCTGACAAGCTTGATCAGACTTCACCATGCTTGTTGCCAGTGATTGTTGGATAATGTTACTGTACTAACTGTAAAATGAAATATTTCAGCAACCCTAGTATCAAAAAATGAGTAGTCAGATTTTCAAAAGTGGAAACTGGAAAAGCCCCCAAAAATAGTGCCATGGCACTGTAGCTCACCTGAATATGTAGTCAACAGGTTAAAATGTCAACAAAGAGAGATACTTACAAAACAGTGTTGTCAACATTGATATTTAATGTCAGAATTATATATTTTCGAAACAATTACTGAAGAATAAAAATAACACAAAGTTTAGATACCTCAGTCTATCAATTTCAGAGGAGAAGTTTACAGAGCAAATATGCCATTTAGAGAATTTAATGTGGTACTTTGTGGTGTAGGCTTTTTTCTGTTTCTAAATTGTACTGCATTGACCATGTATGAGGTCACTGTCATCTCCTGTGGCAAGTGAAAATAGTTTATGATACATCTTTCTGATTGGATAGTTATACACTAGCTGTCACTAAACCAGCATGCTTTAATTGCATGCAGCCTACCCAAGCGTCACCCATGTGTAGCAGGGTGCGGAGTCATCCCTCAGATGACATCCTTACCTGGGTTCCAGACATTTCATGGCCCAACGTAGGGCTGAGCATGTTCAAATTAAGTTTGAGCAAAATAAGTCTCAGTACCCTACTATGCGGCCTTGGACATGCCTTTTGTTGACGTGGGAGTATGTAGCAGGGCGTGGAGTCATCCCATAGATGACATCCTCACTTTGTCAGCTTGCTGACGTGGATAACCCTTTGGTCATGTGGACGTCGGATCAGAAAGTACATGGTCAAATCTCATCATTTGACTTGGAAATGTTATGGCTGCTATATAAACATGCATATTAAATACTGCTCATGTTAGCCATGAAATTGGGATTGTATTATATAGATTTGCACTTGTTCATCAGCAGGCCACATAGCATCTCAATGACACCCTTTTAGCGGCCATGTTTATAAAGGCTAACTGCATTACGTTTTACAGAGTGTATATCTGAATATGAGTGAATGTTTTGAAGCCTTCTTTCATGTCCTGATCCATGAATGCCATTTATGGCCCAATTGGAGATGAAATTTATATTGATTTCCTTTGGGAGAAAAAGTTGCAGTGCCAACATGGAATTAGACTTTGATAAACCATTTCCTGCTATGAGCTGTGAGTTCCAGAATCTTCAGGTTGGAAACACCCATTTCAATAAGAGTTAAAAGCTTGAATGAAATTTGGTTTCCGTAGGAAGGGCTTGATTATGTTATTGTGATGTTGGTTTACTCAGTGCATGCATTGTTGTGATTACGCCAACAATGCACACAGCTCCCACCATTAGGGAGCAGTCTCACATTCACATCTATAACAGATCTGGGAGAACGTCTCCTAGGCATGCAATAAAACCAATTTCTCCTGCACTTGATTAATGTGATACTTGTTGGGAGGAAGGGATGCTTCCCTTTCAAGAGCAATGACAGACCAATCACAGATGAAGAATGGCTTCAAAACAGACTGGCAGTTGGGAGGATTCTGTACAATACAGGACAAGAATAATGTCATGGAATTTCAGAACTGAAGACCACTAGGTGTCCATTTCAGTAGCTTCCAGCTCAGAATAATGAGCAGTATTGAACATATTTATCCATATTGAGGTGTGAATATGTCTTTGTCCAAGGTTTTCATATTCTTTATGTCAGTACGTCATCTTCTAAGGGATCATAAAAATATTCTCTATGTCATGGTGATTCAGATCTGATTTTCAATATGGCTACCGTGGCAGGAATATGGAAAATCCCATTTAGAGCCATTACTCAGCCATTTTCAAGATGGTATGAAATTTGGCATATGTGTTGTTACTAATGGGGCTCAACATATAGGTTCTGGGTTTTTCCCCCCGCGATATTTTGAATTTTAGCCTTAATTTGACCATTGTACTTTGAACCGCACTGAAAGCTGAAACATCTTATGGTCATTACTAGGCCATTTCCATTCAAAATGGAATTAATTTGGTATATGTTACTGATTCTCATATGTCAAAGCAAAAGTGAATGGCTGTTTTTAATCTGGAAGGGTGGGGTTGACATGAAAAAACATGTTTTGAATACCAAACAGGACAAAAAATGAATTTATTTAGAAAAACCCAGTACTACTGTAAAAAAACAAAAACATTGACTTTGAATGGGCAGAGATGAATGGAGTTAACAGTGACAGTGTACAACTGTCTCTCATACATACCTTCAACTCAAAAGACAAGGTTGGGTTTAAGAAATCTTTCTGCAGAAAAACTTTGAAAACTTTGAAGCAGAAAAGCTTATGCCTCAAACTACCTAATTACAAAGGTATATGCACTTACAGTTTAATAACATCACTTCAAACTTCAGAAAACACATTTCCAATGAACTTTGAAACAGAGAATTCTCAGTTAAAAGTTCTCATGCCTCCATCTATGTTATGCTATGATATGAGCACTTTCACTTCAGTAACTCTACCCTTTTGTGAAAACATATGGCCAATGCAGTACATCTCTGAAACAGTAAACCCTATGCCTCCAGCTACCATAATCACCAAGTCATAAGCACTTCTGGTTCAACAACATCACTTCCTCTTTAATGACATTGACCTTCAATCTCAGTAATGAACCACTTGGAGATCATGTATACAAGATTTCTGAAATTTTAATCATAAATGCTCACTATATTGTGTATACACAAGCTTTTCGAGACGTCTACTGCTCACTGACTGACCTTGACCTTCAACATCTACAATCACATGTGAGACCATCACTTGTTGAAAACCGGCCATATTACACATAAACAGTCTTCAAACCTTACAAAAAAACACTTTCCAAATGAAACTGCTTACCAGTCATTTCATGAGTGAATGACCCTCCAAGCAAACTTGACATCTGACACAAATACATGACAGGTGGTGAGTCAGATACTTTGAGTTCATTTTTAACTGACTGAAAAATATTTTGATTTTTCATGAATTAAATTGAATTTTCATGCACCATGATAGTTTGACCTTTAGTGACCTTACATGGAGATCACCCAAAATTTGATATTATCAAGAACCCACCTTAGAGTTTGTGTATATTAAGTTTCATCAAATTCCAATCATTAATTCTCCAGATATCTTGTAAACAAGCTGGCTTCAAACCCAGCTGACAGTGAGTGACATTGGTCCAACCTTCATGGTCATCCAATCACATATGTTTTGTGAACTTAGGTGGGGTACCCAAAATGAAGTCTCCATGTGAAACTGCCAATACTTTTTGAAAGAAACTAGTTCATGAGTGAAAGCCTTCCCAAATGACCTTCACATTTGACACAGCCATGACACATGCCTAGTATTGAGTTAATCAATGAGAGTTAATCACATATCAATAGAAAATGCTTAGATTTCTCATGGATTAATCTGAAATATTGTGAAATTTGAACCATTTGAGTTGTTAACCTTTAGCCTGCTGAATTGTTTTTAAGCTGCTTAGCTCTGTCTGCTGGATTAATTTTAGCACAAGGCACTGTGAAGAGGGTGGGTGATTTCAAACAGTCGGTGCTTCATTAAACAAGGGCCATTTGAACCAATATTTTTCACATTATTACCCGATAAAAAAATACACATTGTCATTTAAAAGTATCCTGCTATTTTCAAACATACAGAGGTGACACACTCTGTTGGATGGGTTTGACAGTAGCATTGAGCTTTTACATGTTCATTCTTCACAACAATAAAACCGGTTTGATTCCCCACACAGGACACACTAGGTTGAGTCAATTCTTGGTGTCTTGTCCATGACATGACTGGCGTGTTGCTGTAAGTATTGTACAACCCAGCTCACTTTCTCATGAAGATGACTACTTCTTGTACGCGGTGTATAATGACCATGACTTACTCTCGATCTACTATAAGACAGGACGGTGTATACTTACTCTCGATCTACTATAAGACAGGACGGTGTATACTTACTCTCGATCTACTATAAGACAGGACGGTGTATAATTACTCTCGATCTACTATAAGACAGGACGGTGTATACTTACTCACAATCTACTATAAGACAGGACGGTGTATACTTACTCACAATCTACTATAAGACAGGACGGTGTATACTTACTCTCGATCTACTATAAGACAGGACGGTGTATACTTACTCTCGATCTACAGTAAGACAGGACGGTGTATACTTACTCTCGATCTACTATAAGACAGGACGGTGTATACTTACTCTCGATCTACTATAAGACAGGACGGTGTATACTTACTCTCGATCTACTATAAGACAGGACGGTGTATACTTACTCTCGATCTACTATAAGACAGGACGGTGTATACTTACTCTCGATCTACTATAAGACAGGACGGTGTATACTTACTCACAATCTACTATAAGACAGGACGGTGTATACTTACTCTCGATCTACTATAAGACAGGACGGTGTATACTTACTCTCGATCTACAGTAAGACAGGACGGTGTATACTTACTCTCGATCTACTATAAGACAGGACGGTGTATACTTACTCTCGATCTACTATAAGACAGGACGGTGTATACTTACTCACAATCTACTATAAGACAGGACGGTGTATACTTACTCTCGATCTACTATAAGACAGGACGGTGTATACTTACTCACAATCTACTATAAGACAGGACGGTGTATACTTACTCTCGATCTACTATAAGACAGGACGGTGTATACTTACTCTCGATCTACAGTAAGACAGGACGGTGTATACTTACTCTTGATCTACTATAAGACAGGACAGTGTATACTTACTCTCGATCAACTATAAGACAGGACGGTGTATACTTACTCTCGATCTACTATAAGACAGGACGGTGTATACTTACTCTTGATCTACTATAAGACAGGACGGTGTATACTTACTCACAATCTACTATAAGACAGGACAGTGTATACTTACTCACAATCTACTATAAGACAGGACAGTGTATACTTACTCACAATCTACTATAAGACAGGACATTGTATACTTACTCACAATCTACTATAAGACAGGACGGTGTATACTTACTCACAATCTACTATAAGACAGGACAGTGTATACTTACTCTCGATCTACTATAAGACAGGACGGTGTATACTTACTCACAATCTACTATAAGACAGGACGGTGTATACTTACTCTCGATCTACTATAAGACAGGACGGTGTATACTTACTCACAATCTACTATAAGACAGGACGGTGTATACTTACTCTCGATCTACTATAAGACAGGACGGTGTATACTTACTCTCGATCTACAGTAAGACAGGACGGTGTATACTTACTCTTGATCTACTATAAGACAGGACAGTGTATACTTACTCTCGATCTACTATAAGACAGGACGGTGTATACTTACTCTCGATCTACTATAAGACAGGACGGTGTATACTTACTCTTGATCTACTATAAGACAGGACGGTGTATACTTACTCACAATCTACTATAAGACAGGACGGTGTATACTTACTCACAATCTACTATAAGACAGGACAGTGTATACTTACTCACAATCTACTATAAGACAGGACATTGTATACTTACTCACAATCTACTATAAGACAGGACGGTGTATACTTACTCACAATCTACTATAAGACAGGACGGTGTATACTTACTCTCGATCTACTATAAGACAGGACGGTGTATACTTACTCTCGATCTACAGTAAGACAGGACGGTGTATACTTACTCTTGATCTACTATAAGACAGGACAGTGTATACTTACTCTCGATCTACTATAAGACAGGACGGTGTATACTTACTCTCGATCTACTATAAGACAGGACAGTGTATACTTACTCTCGATCTACAGTAAGACACTCGACTCCAGGGGCCTGGGCTATCACACTAGCTGTCCGGCAGTCCTCGCTACAATGAATATAATGAATCATTTACAGCTCATGTTTACAGGGAATACTCAAATATACACATGAGCGATAATTACGCACCTGACACTTTTTCAGATATGTGGAACATCAAAAAATGACATGCTGGACTTAGATTTATGGCTGCTCCAATCTCTGCTTACTGGCTCTAGCAAAATGACTCTTCAAGAGTTTACAGGACGATAACAAAGATACGATCATTATACATATTGTATAGAGCAGCATGATTTGAAGAATATATCATATGACAATAATTGGATAATATTGAGTGCTGCTTATGGAAGCCTGTGAGGCGGCAAGATGAACTTGCATTATATACTGGTATGTTATACCTCTTTACCTTAATAATGCTTTTTCACCAAAGTAGTCACCACGTTTCAAACGACGGATTTCTCGAGGGTCATTATAACCTTGTATTTTCTGCGTGACCTTCACCTGCAAGTGACATTTGGTTTTGAGTTGAAGCCTGGCTACATTTAATCTGTAAATTCAAAACTACATGGTAAGAAACAAAATCAGGGTTGTTAATGAAAATCCACCATGTTAACAGTGTCCCATAGATATATAATTAATGATATTTAACTTTTCAATATTTGAACCGACCTGTGAAGATCCAGGTTAGAATTGGTCTTCAGCAACCCATACTTGTCACAAGAGGCGACTAATGGTACCGGATGGTCAGGCTTGCTGACTTTGTTGATGCATGTCATCATATCCCAAATGCATGGATCAATGCTCATGATATCAATCGCTGGATTTTCTAGTCCAGACTAGAATTTTATATATAACATCATATCTTTGATTTACCTTGGACTGATCTCGGCTTTACTGTTTCATACTGATGCTTACAACACCAGCAGATATCTTGAAAGTGTTGGCACGTCATGCCGAAACCTGGCTTTGCTAACTGATATGATTACCATGTATGAAACCCATTTCTGCTGTCCCTGCACCCTGTGATATGGCTGGAATAGGGCTTAAAGCTGTGTAAAACCCTATTCACTCACTCAATCATGGCTTGTGATGTGTAGGTGGCTTTCTAAACTAGCCACCATACTCCATTGGTAGAAACTCTGGACTTGCAAACTTACCTCCCCCTTGTTGATGATGAAGAATGTGTCCCCGTTGGCCCCCTCCCGGATGATGTACTCTCCCTCGTGGAAGAAGTCCTGGACACACAACAGACACATCACACTGAGTAGGTGGCCAAGTGCACACATGTATTGGCAATAGGAACACAACAGACACATCACACTGGGTAGGTGGCCAAGTGCACACATGTATTGGCAATAGGAACACAACAGACACATCACACTGAGTAGGTGGCCAAGTGCACACATGTATTGGCAATAGGAACACAACAGACACATCACACTGAGTAGGTGGCCAAGTGCACACATGTATTGGCAATAGGAACACAACAGACACATCACACTGGGTAGGTGGCCAAGTGCACACATGTATTGGCAATAGGAACACAACAGACACATCACACTGAGTAGGTGGCCAAGTGCACACATGTATTGGCAATAGGAACACAACAGACACATCACACTGGGTAGGTGGCCAAGTGCACACATGTATTGGCAATAGGAACACAACAGACACATCACACTGGGTAGGTGGCCAAGTGCACACATGTATTGGCAATAGACACACAACAGACACATCACACTGGGTAGGTGGCCAAGTGCACACATGTATTGGCAATAGACACACAACAGACACATCACACTGGGTAGGTGGCCAAGTGCACACATGTATTGGCAATAGGAACACAACAGACACATCACACTGGGTAGGTGGCCAAGTGCACACATGTATTGGCAATAGGAACACAACAGACACATCACACTGGGTAGGTGGCCAAGTGCACACATGTATTGGCAATAGGAACATAACAGACACAACACACTGGGTAGGTGGCCAAATGCACACATGTATTGGCAATAGGAACATAACAGACACATCACACTGAGTAGGTGGCCAAGTGCACACATGTATTGGCAATAGACACACAACAGACACATCACACTGGGTAGGTGGCCAAGTGCACACATGTATTGGCAATAGGAACACAACAGACACATCACACTGAGTAGGTGGCCAAGTGCACACATGTATTGGCAATAGACACACAACAGACACATCACACTGGGTAGGTGGCCAAGTGCACCCATGTATTGGCAATAGGAACACAATAGACACATCACACTGGGTAGGTGGCCAATTGCACACATGTATTGGCAATAGGAACACAACAGACACATCACACTGAGTAGGTGGCAAAGTGCACACATGTATTGGCAATAGACACACAACAGACACAACACACTGGGTAGGTGGCCAAATGCACACATGTATTGGCAATAGGAACATAACGGACACATCACACTGAGTAGGTGGCCAAGTGCACACATGTATTGGCAATAGGAACATAACAGATGATTAGGTCAACTTTTCGGTGTCAGTTCCAAATCGACTTGGAATAAACATATATACCACTGTCCAGTCGATTATTTACTGCCAATAAGAATTGTAGATGCATCTGGTTTCTTCTAGTTCCTAATTTTACCCTAAATAAAATGGATGTCTTCCAGAGTCTGTGTCAGCTGTTATGACAATAAACATCTGCCATTATTACACCCAAAAGGCAAAAGCAATTTTACTGCATCAAATATTATGTCTTTTGTGCATCCTTAAACTGTTATCTGAGCTATATTAGTCAAGACAAACTTAATTACTTGTGTTCCACATTTCATACAGCAAAAACACCTAAAGGCGGGAGGGAAAATATGTTGTAGCTCACCTGGATATATAGTCAACAAATTTAAAGCTCAACAGAGATGTTCGCTTAAAGAAAGTTGATATCAACATTGCTACTGAAATATTTTCTGCATCAATATTGAGGACTAAACTCTTAAATCCAAAATCTAATGGTTTGAACAATCTAGGATGTTAGTAGAAAGAAACTGTTAAATGCCAAAGTTCAGCTCCTCGGTTTACAGAGCCAAATATGGATTTGGGGCACATGGGGCAGAGTGGGTAAGTGGTCAAAAGTCAGGCTAGCAAGCGCCAGGTGCTGAGATCGTATCCCGCTAGTGACCAGGTTGTTATTCAGCCTTGGGACCAACAATGTTTGCAGGTGTTTTCAGTGTTGTCACTACCCCTAGTGTACAGTACATACACCCTGTGCACTCAAAGGAACCCACTCGTCCGATTGTAGAGGACCAGATGGTGGAAACACAAAAACGTACATACACCCGAAACACAAGTGTCAAAACGTGTGATATCACCCTGCACAAGTGACTTAGTTCAAATGTGCCTCTGTTCACCTAGCAGGTAATGGGTACCCGCTATAGGCAGGTTGTATACACCCCAGGGAGTTGAGAATGATAACTGGAATGCAAACGCATCCACTGGTCGGGGAACAAATAAAACCGCAATTGAGCAGATACTAGTACCTGGATACGTGTGTCATATGATTATATAATATCATAATAATAATAATTTAAAAAATTATTTGAGAGAATACAAGGGTCACAACAAAGAGAAATTGTAAACATTATGAAAAATGGAATATATGAGTTGAGTACCACAATAAAAATAACAAATACCAAATTTACATTTTGTTCCAAAAAGGGGCCTTATACAATATTTTCTTCTGTGTAATACACACCAATCTTTCTTGTGTTTATAGTTTGTTCAATATTTGAGTAAAGAGGGAGGGGTGGGAATGGCTAAAATGTGCCAGACAGATCTGTAAAACATGAAATAACATTGCTTTTGCCTTATGTATTGATGTAAGGCTGATATTGACCCAGATTGACTGGAACTACTCACAATCTCCAAGACATCAGCAATTTTGGCAAGCTTGTCGACCTGCAGATTCTTCAGTAAAGGCACACTAGAAACAATCAAAAACATTAACATAGTATCTCACCATATCAATTGTCACTGTACATAGATCATGATCAGATAAGCTCTACTTTACATCATGCTTTCAACAATTGAGATAAACATGTTTCCGGAAATACAACATTTAAGATGGGATAATTCTTTATGTCACACATTCTATCTTTCTTTATTAAATTGTTTTACTTTATTATTTTTTTCTAACTCTGCATTTCTATATATTACCATATGCTCCATCTTTCTTTATTTGGGCTGCCCAAGTAACATACCCTCTGTGGCACAAAATGAGCTATAATGGGTCCACGACAGTGGAGGAAAATAACACATGAAATTGCTATGGAGAAAAGCTCCGTATTGATTCTCGAGACCTGCAGGCCAAGGGAGCTGTCCCTCAAAATTGTTGCAGTTTTTTCTAACAGCTCAAGAGTACTGCGATGAGCAATTGAGAGGATAGCTGAAAAAAACTATAGAGCAGACAAAGAACTGTTGAGTGTGGAACTAACACATGCTGACATGTCCACCCTTGAGGGCAAAAAGTAACTTTTAAAGGCCATCATATCATCCTAACCAGAAAATATGTCTTTTTCATTGGGCAATGGAATGACAATTGGCAACAAAAAAGCATCAGCTAGATGAACGGTCAGTTCCTTAAGGACTACAGGAACACTTTGTCACTGAATGTTTGTAGTGAACAGTGTGATCACTTGTGCTACATATTGTCACCAACGGTTATATTCTCAATGTCCCAAAGGGAGAGCCACTGTCTCCCAAAAAGAATGCCACACTGTCTCCCAAGGGAGAGCCACAATGTCCCATAGGGAGAGCCACAGTGTCCCAAAGGGAGAGCCACAATGTCCCAAAGGGAGTGCCACAATGTCAACAAGGGAGAGCCACAATGTGATCAAGGGACAGCCACAATGTCAACAAGGGAGAGCCACACTGTCAACAAGGGAGAGCCACAATGTCAACAAGGGAGAGCCACAATGTCAACAAAGGAGAGTAAAAATGTCAACAAGGGAGAGCCACAATGTGATCAAGGGACAGCCACAATGTCACCAAGGGAGAGCCACAATGTCAACAAGGGAGAGCCACAATGTCAACAAGGTAGAGCCACAATGTGATCAAGGGAGAGCCACAATGTTATCAAGGGACAGCCACAATGTGATCAAGGGACAGCCACAATGTCAACAAGGGAGAGCCACAATGTGATCAAGGGACAGCCACAATGTCAACAAGGGACAGCCACAATGTCAACAAGGGACAGCCACAATGTCAACAAGGTAGAGCCACAATGTGATCAAGGGACAGCCACAATGTCAACAAGGGACAGCCACAATGTTATCAAGGGACAGCCACAATGTGATCAAGGGACAGCCACAATGTCAACAAGGGAGAGCCACAATGTGATCAAGGGACAGCTACAATGTCAACAAGGGACAGCCACAATGTCAACAAGGCAGAGCCACAATGTCAACAAGGTAGAGCCACAATGTGATCAAGAGACAGCCACAATGTCAACAAGGGACAGCCACAATGTCAACAAGGGAGAGCCACAATGTCAACAAGGTAGAGCCACAATGTCAACAAGGGAGAGCCACAATGTCAACAAGGGAGAGCCACAATGTCAACAAGGGAGAGCCACAATGTGATCAAGGGACAGCCACAATGTCAACAAGGGAGAGCCACAATGTCAACAAGGGACAGCCACAATGTGATCAAGGGACAGCCACAATGTCAACAAGAGAGAGCCACAATGTGATCAAGGGACAGCCACAATGTCAACAAGGGAGAGCCACACTGTCAACAAGGGAGAGCCCCAATGTCAACAAGGGAGAGCCACAATGTCAACAAGGAAGAGACACAATGTCAACAAGGGAGAGCCACAATGTGATCAAGGGACAGCCACAATGTCAACAAGGGAGAAACACAATGTGATCAAGGGACAGCCACAATGTCAACAAGGGACAGCCACAATGTCAACAAGGGAGAGCCACAATGTCAACAAGGGACAGCCACAATGTCATCAAGGAAGAACCACAGTGTCCCGAAGGGGGGAGGATAGAGCCACAAGTCCCTAAGTAAGAGCCACAGTGACATCAAGGGAGATCCACAGCATCCCCAAGGGGCAGCCACAGTCTCCAGAAGGGAGAGCCACAGTGTCCCCAAGGGAGAGTCACAGTCTCCAGAAGGGAGAGTCACACTGTCATCAAGGGAGAGCCACAGTGTCCCCAAGGGAGAGTCACAGTCTCCAGAAGGGAGAGTCACAATGTCATCAAGGGAGAGCCACAGTCTCCAGAAGGGAGAGCCACAGTGTCCCCAAGGGAGAGTCGCAGTGTCCCCAAGGGAGAGCCACAGTCTCCAGAAGGGAGAGTCACAGTCTCCAGAAGGGAGAGCCACAGTGTCCCCAAGGTAGAGTCACAGTGTCCCCAAGGGAGAGTCACAGTGTCCAGAAGGGAGAGCCACAGTCTTCAGAAGGGAGAGCCACAGTGTCCCGAAGGGAGAGTCACAGTGTCCCCAAGGGAGAGCCACAGTCTCCAGAAGGGAGAGCCACAGTGTCCCCAAGGGAGAGTCACAGTCTCCAGAAGGGAGAGCCACAGTGTCCCCAAGGGAGAGCCACAGTGTCCCCAAGGGAGAGTCACAGTCTCCAGAAGGGAGAGCCACAGTGTCCCCAAGGGAGAGTCACAGTCTCCAGAAGGGAGAGCCACAGTGTCCCCAAGGGGGAGTCACAGTCTCCAGAAGGGAGAGCCACAGTGTCCCCAAGGGAGAGCCACAGTCTCCAGAAGGGAGAGCCACAGTGTCCCCAAGGGAGAGCCACAGTCTCCAGAAGGGAGAGCCACAGTGTCCCCAAGGGAGAGCCACAGTCTCCAGAAGGGAGAGCCATTGTACATTTTATCAACATCCATAAAAAGGCTGCGTCCCTCATGGTTTATTCTCCTTGCAGTGTTTTATGTGTACGATAAATAACTCCCACTCATCCTTTATTTCTAAAATAGATAGGAATCTCACCAGTACCGAAGCACCATATACAGACCAGGACCTGACACACATGCATTGTATTACTGAAACTATAACCTGACACTCAAATGCATTCTATTACTGAGAGGTTTAACATAAGGCACACATCAGTTATCATGTCAGGGAGACACATGTAGACTTATCTCCTCTCCCACCAATAGAACGGGATGCGATATGGTTGATTTGTTGAATTAGTGTCTTTGTGACTCCAAGTGCTGCAGTATTAATGTCAGAAAGTTGGTAACCCTCCCTGGCCAGCCACCGTGGGCCAACGAAGTTATGTGGTCAGGCACTATTGGCAGCATCAATTGTTTGATTCACTCTTCACGTCCAAGTAGAGTCAATTCAGTGATGCCTGAGCCGATCCCGCTCAGAATGTCAAGCTATAATTACAGCACACGGCAAGTGCTTCACAATGTAATGAAATACTACATTTCATTAAAGACTTCCATTTTCTGATTCCAGGCCACACAGGGTGAGGCCAGGCTATGGAATCACATTAATATCTGTGATGGCTGCTGACAAACGGTCAGGCAAGGGTGTCAGTCACCACAGTGCATGCCGGTAGGCACAGCACTTCAAGCCTCAGCCTCATGTGCCTCATAGACACCTCACATGCCACAGGTTAACACACTGTCAACCGCTGCCTTGTGACGTTGGATTTGAATATGCACTGAATTAAGCCTTTGATAGCCATTTAGAACATGAATAAATGACATTTTTTTTATCGAAGCATCTTCTTTTCTTCTTTGTAACGATATTTCAGAGACATTTTTAGCCCCTTCATCAGGTGAATACTGAAAAAGCGCATTGAGCTAATATATATACAGTCAAGTCTCGTTAATCCGACATCATTGGTTGCACATGATTGTGTCGGATTAACGAGTATGTCGGATTAACGAAATTAAGTGATTTGTGATCGAAAATCGGACGTCTTCACGATAGATAATAACTGTGTGTACCTTGTAATAAAATCATTAAAAACAAAATATTTATATTGTTATGTTGTTTATTCATTCCTTCCTTAATTTATAATTAATGACATTGCAAAAATAATAACTGACAGATCTCCTTCTTGATTTGCGGGGTGATTTCTACTCGTGCACGCTTTCTCGGAGGTGTACTGCAGACAGACATTTTGACGAATGTTACAAGGTGAGTCGACCATGTTTTATATACCTGTTTGTATTTTAAACTGGCTTCATGCACATTTATCTGGCTTCAATTTGTAAACTACATTTGTATAGCTTTGTACATACAGGTTTGAATAGCTTTTCCTGTTAATTGTTAAGTTAATCTCTGCAGCCAGTGCGTGTCAAAACACGGGGTTGTGTACTCGCGGGCAGATGACCACGGAGTACGCTGACCACTGTGTCGGATTAACAAGACTGATTAATGAGTGATTTCGGTAATTCGTTGCAAATTAGGTGTGTCGGAGTCGGAGTGCGAGAATGTCGGATTAACGGGACTAAATAGCACTGAATCAATCAGTTCCCATCATTTGTGTCGGATAAAGCAGAGTGTCGGATTAACGAGACTTGACTGTACATGATGATATGCTTTCACAAGGCAGGATTAATGTTCAAAGATAACAATAATCACAAAGCCAAGGAGATTAACAGGAGAGTGACAGTGACTGTGTAGTGACTCCCAATAGCACCAGAATAAAAGACCTGTGTGGAAAAATCTGACATGAAATCTGACATTTCAGAACATCTCAACAAAAATCCTGACTAACATATTTCCTGGCAACAAGGCAAGATTGGTCACTGGAAAAAGAGGAAACTTCAAGAATTTATTGAAATCCAGAGATACAAGCCAGCCATTAACAGAGGCATCTGCCTACCCAGCATGTACTCTACTGTGCTTTAATATCTTAAACCACAAATGGTGTTACCATAGTCAACACCTTGTTATTCACCAAGCCCCATTAGGAAACATTCACTGTACTTAATTGGCTTCTTTCCTGTTAATCTCATTGACTTTGTCACTATATTGTTGCCTCTGTACATTAATCCTACCTTGTGCAAACCTACCCTCCTGTATATATATTAACTCCATGCACTTACTCAATATTCACCTGATGAAGCTGCAAGTAGTTGCTAGAAACATTGTTATAAAGAATAAATGAAGTTGTTATCCATGAAACAATTTCACGTATTCATGCACTGTATTACTATGAAAGGGATCCTCTATAAAACTGATTATAGACAAATCAATATTCACTTGTTGATGCTTATTCATGTGAACTATCTGTGTAGAGAGTGGAGCAGAAGGATGGAGAGCTGGGAAAGTTGTGTGGTGATTATCTGTGTGCTGGAGCTGCTCACTAGACTACCACTCCTTCGTCTGACATAGGCATCTGCTACAAGGCATCAAGAGCTGGGCCCCCTCCTCACTACACAACTGGTCTAACCTTAACAGCCTCTCTCCACACAACGCCAGGTTCAGTACCTCTAGACCTTCTCTACATGACATTAAGCCCCCCTCTAAACGACACCAACCCCACTTCTCTCTCTACATGACACCAAGCCCCCTTCTCTACATGACACCAAGCCCCCCTCTACATGACACCAAGCCTATCTCTCTCTACATGACAACAAGCCCCCCTCTCTACATGACACCAAGCCCCTCTATACATGACACCAAGCCCCCCTCTCTCTACATGACACCAAGCCCCCTCTCTACATGACACCAAGCCCCCCTCTCTACATGACACCAAGCCTATCTCTCTCTACATGACAACAAGCCCCCCTCTCTACATGACACCAAGCCCCTCTATACATGACACCAAGCCCCCCTCTCTCTACATGACACCAAGCCCCCTCTCTACATGACACCAAGCCCCCCTCTACATGACACCAAGCCTATCTCTCTCTACATGACACCAAGCACCTCTCTCTACATGACACCAAGCCCCCTCTCTACATGACACCAAGCCCCCCTCTCTCTACATGACACCAAGCCCCCCTCTACATGACACCAAGCCCCCCTCTCTCTACATGACACCAAACCCCCTCTCTACATGACACCAAGCCCCTCTCTCTCTACATGACACCAAGCCCCCTCTCTACATGACACCAAGCCCCCTCTCTACATGACACCAAGCCCCTCTATACATGACACCAAGCCCCTCTCTACATGACACCAAGCCCCCCTCTACATGACACCAAGCCTATCTCTCTCTACATGACACCAAGCACCTCTCTCTACATGACAGCAACCCCCTCTCTACATGACAGCAACCCCCTCTCTCTACATGACACCAAGCCCCTCTCTCTACAAGACACCAAACCCCTCTCTCTACATGACAGCAACCCCCTCTCTCTACATGACACCAAGCCCCTCTCTCTACACGACACCAAGCCCCTCTCTGTACATGACAGCAACCCCCTCTCTCTACACGACACCAAGCCCCTCTCTACACGACACCAAGCCCCCTCTCTGTACATGACAGCAACCCCCTCTCTCTACACGACACCAACCCCCTCTCTCTACAAGACACCAAGCCCTTCTCTACATGACACCAAGCACCTCTCTCTACATGACACCAAGCCCCCCTCTACATGACACCAAGCCTATCTCTCTCTACATGACACCAAGCCCCTCTATACACTACACCAAGCCCCTCTCTCTCTACATGACACCAAGGCCCCCTCTCTAAATGACACCAAGCCCCCCTCTATATGACACCAAGCCTATCTCTCTCTACATGACACCAAGCACCTCTCTCTACATGACAGCAACCCCCTCTCTACATGACAGCAACCCCCTCTCTCTACATGACACCAAGCCCCTCTCTACACGACACCAAGCCCCTCTCTCTACAAGACACCAAACCCCTCTCTACACGACACCAAGCCCCTCTCTGTACATGACAGCAACCCCCTCTCTCTACACGACACCAAGCCCCTCTCTGTACATGACAGCAACCCCCTCTCTCTACACGACACCAACCCCCTCTCTCTACATGACACCAAGCCCCTCTTTCTACAAGACACCAAGCCCTTCTCTACATGACACCAAGCACCTCTCTCTACATGACACCAAGCACCTCTCTCTACATGACAGCAACCCCCTCTCTACATGACAGCAACCCCCTCTCTCTACATGACACCAAGCCCCTCTCTACATGACACCAAGCCCCTCTCTACATGACATCAACCCCCTCTCTCTACAAGACACCAAGCCCCTCTCTCTACATGACACCAAGCCCCTCTCTACATGACACTAAGCCCCTCTCTACACGATAACAAGCCGCTCTCTACATGACACCAAGCCTTTCTCTACAAGACACCAAGCCCCCCTCTACATGACACCAAGCCTCTCTCTACATGACACCAAGCCCCTCTCTATACGACACCAAGCCGCTCTCTGCATGACACCAAGCCTCTCTCTACAAGACACCAACCCCCTCTCTCTACAAGACACCAAGCCCCTCTCTCTACAAGACACCAAGCCCTTCTCTCTACATGACACCAAGCCCCTCTCTACATGACACCAAGCCCCTCTCAGTACATGACACCAAGTGCCTCTCTGCATGACACCAAGCCCCTCTCTTCATGACACCAAGCCTCTTTCTACATGACAGCAACCTCCTCTCTACATGACACCAAGCCTTTCTCTACAAGACACCAAGCCCCCCTCTACATGACACCAAGCCTCTCTCTACATGACACCAAGCCCCTCTCTATACGACACCAAGCCGCTCTCTGCATGACACCAAGCCTCTCTCTACAAGACACCAACCCCCTCTCTCTACAAGACACCAAGCCCCTCTCTCTACAAGACACCAAGCCCTTCTCTCTACATGACACCAAGCCCCCCTCTACATGACACCAAGCCCCTCTCTTCATGACACCAAGCCTCTTTCTACATGACAGCAACCTCCTCTCTACATGACACCAAGCCCCTCTTTCTACATGACACCAAGCCCCTCTCTACATGACACCAAGCCCCTCTCTGTAGATGACACCAAGCCCCCCTCTACACGACACCAAGCCCCTCTCTCTATATGACACCAAGCCCCCCTCTCCATGACAACAAACACCTCTCTACATGACACCATGCCCCTCTCTCCATGACAACAAACACCTCTCTACATGACACCATGCCCCTCTCTCCATGACAACAATCCCCTCTCTACATGACACCATGCCCCTCTCTCCATGACAACAATCCCCTCTCTCCATGACAACAATCCCCTCTCTCCATGACAACAAGCTGCCCCCTCTTTATATGACATGTGGCCCCTCTCTACATGACACCAAGCCCCTCTCTCCATGACACCAGATTCAATATCTAGTTCCTACATTGTTGCTTTAAAATATCTGTGTCTGATGTAGAGTCCACTAATTGGTGTTGCAGCGAGTGTGCGAGCTGACTGCCTTCTGGCATTTGTCCACAGGGACAGTCCACCCCGAACATGAAACATGGCAATTAGACGTCCTCGGACACCACAATGCACACTTTGTTCTGCTTCTTCATTGTTGCGAGATGGCTGGTGGAGATGGCTCTCATTACTGCCATGGTTGCAGCCAAGACGATGGTCACTGCAATCAGCACACCACAATACTGGCTTCATGAGCTCCAGCACACACGTCATCACACAGCATACACATGGGCACACTGCCTTGTGATGCAAATATCAACACCACATATAGTCTAGTCACTGGCAAGTAGAAGGGTAAATATTGATGCAAAACAAATTGTCTGATTACTGTATCAATACCATTCCTCCTACCTCTTTGCTATTTTCAATCCAAGTCAGTACTGATACAACATTCAGTAAATGACTAATTGAGTGAAGGATTTATGCCATCATGGTGACTGGTGATGTAATTTTGCCTCTAGTTTGACAATCAGTGTTTGATAGTGTGACCGATGATTTAAGCATAAAAGGGCATGATGATCCCAGATCCGAGTTTGCTTCATGGTGGTGGTCACAAAAATCAATCACTATCTTTACTCAATGGCAACTGTGTCCACCTGAAACCCTCCCGATAACCTCACACAAGAACCCGAAGTCACTTCAATATGGACTGAATTTCAGAACAGCAGAACCAACCACACAAGGACATGATGTCATCCCCAACATAACAAGAGAAATATGCAGGAGCAGACGTAAAAATGTTGTATTGCATGCTGTTGCATGTGTTTTAATGCCCAGTAGTTTACAGAAGGGTTTCCTTTATTGAGAACAGCTAGGTGGACAAGAGACAAATACCCTTCATTGGTTTCTCGTTTGGTTTCTGTCGGAATCCAATGGAAAAGTATGATGGAGCATAAGAACTCCTGTTGTCCCGGTTAATGGCAGTAAATGATGTGATACAATATGCAAACTTGGCAGATACATGCCGCTGTAGGGTTCAGTAAGGGTACCAACCTTCTGAGGAACCTGGTGCTCTCTTCTCGTCTCTGAAGTCCAGTCTTCATCATGATAGCCTGGAAGATCCGGCGATCCAGCACCCACACCTTCACATCAACCACCGCTGTAACATATACATCAGAGTTCAGAGAGTCCATCAGGTGTGTTCAGCTCAATCAGGTGTGTGTTCAGAGCGTCAATCAGGTGTGTGTTCAGAGTGTCAATCAGGTGTGTTCAGCTCAATCAGGTGTGTGTTCAGAGAGTCAATCAGGTGTGTTCAGCTCAATCAGGTGTGTGTTCAGAGAGTCAATCAGGTGTGTGTTCAGAGCATCAATCAGGTGTGTGTTCAGAGAGTCAATCAGGTGAGTGTTCAGAGCATCAATCAGGTGGGTGTTCAGAGAGTCAATCAGGTGAGAGTTCAGAGCATCAATCAGGTGTGTGTTCAGAGTCAATCACGTGAGTGTTTAGAGCATCAATCAGGTGTGTGTTCAGAGAGTCAATCAGGTGAGTGTTCAGAGTGTCAATCAGGTGTGTGTTCAGAGAGTCAATCAGGTGTGTGTTAAGAGAGTCAATCAGGTGTGTGTTCAGAGAGTCAATCAGGTGTGTTCAGAGCATCAATCAGGTGAGTGTTCAGAGCATCAATCAGGTGGGTGGTCAAAGAGTCAATCAGGTGTGTGTTCAGAGAGTCAATCAGGTGTGTTCAGAGTGTCAATCAGGTGGGTGTTCAGAGAGTCAATCAGGTGTGTGTTCAGAGAGTCAATCAGGTGTGTTCAGAGCATCAATCAGGTGAGTGTTCAGAGCATCAATCAGGTGGGTGTTCAGAGAGTCAATCAGGTGTGTGTTCAGAGTGTCAAGCAGGTAAGTGTTCAGGGCATCAATCAGGTGGGTGTTCAGAGTATCAATCAGGTGTGTGGTCAGAGTGTCTATCAGGTGGGTGTTCAGAGAGTCCTTCAGCTGTGTTCAGAGCGTCAATCAGGTGGATGTTCAGAGTGTCAAGCAGGTAAGTGTTCAGAGCATCAATCAGGTGGGTGTTCAGAGCATCAATCAGGTGGGTGTTCAGAGAGTCAATCAGGTGTGTGTTCAGAGAGTCAATCAGGTGTGTTCAGAGTGTCAATCAGGTGTGTGTTCAGAGAGTCAATCAGGTGTGTGTTCAGAGAGTCAATCAGGTGTGTTCAGAGCATCAATCAGGTGAGTGTTCAGAGCATCAATCAGGTGGGTGTTCAGAGAGTCAATCAGGTGTGTGTTCAGAGTGTCAAGCAGGTAAGTGTTCAGGGCATCAATCAGGTGGGTGTTCAGAGTATCAATCAGGTGTGTGTTCAGAGTGTCTATCAGGTGGGTGTTCAGAGAGTCCTTCAGCTGTGTTCAGAGCATCAATCAGGTGGATGTTCAGAGTGTCAAGCAGGTAAGTGTTCAGGGCATTAATCAGGTGGGTGTTCAGAGTATCAATCATGTGTGTGTTCAGAGTGTCTATCAGGTGGGTGTTCAGAGAGTCCTTCAGCTGTGTTCAGAGGGTCAATCAGGTGGATGTTCAGAGCGTCAGTTAGGTGTTTTAGTGTCAATCTGGTTGGTGTTTAGAGCATCAAATAAGGTGGGTGTTCAGAGTGTCAATCAGGTGGTTGTTCAGAGTGCAATCAGGTGTGTGTTCAGAGAGTTAATCAGGTGTGTTCAGAGTGCAATCAGGTGTGTGTTCAGAGAGTTAATCAGGTGTATTCAGAGTGCAATCAGGTGTGTGTTCAGAGATTTATTCAGGTGTGTTCAGAGTGCAATCAGGTGTGTGTTCAGAGCGTCAATCAGGTCGATGTTCAAGTGTCAATCAGGTGGATATTAACAAAGCTGACTCCTGACTGGCATGAATATTGATTGGTCACATGCTGTGATTGTCACAGATTAGAGCTAAAGAAGTGTTTGTAGTGAAAAAGAATGTTTTGGATTCCTGAATGATGGTGGTCGGCACTATACCCAGTTACATGGGTTTGGCTCACGGTACTCACATCCCACATGATATTTCCATATCAGCAGTTGGGACTAGTTGGGAACAGTTCACTACAAATAAATTGCAAGCGCTTCCGTGGCATTTGATTGACTAACCAAGCAATATTTTATGCATTTATGTTTCCATATAAAAAGAGGCCACGCCCACTTAGAAAATACTGTATCCTAATTGGTTGATAATATAATGGGAGGGGCTTGTGTTGACTTATTGTGCTGAATAATGGCCCTGATTTCTTACTGTTGTCTACAGCTTTGTGTGAATATATCTTTAAATAAGCAGCAGTGTGTAAAGTAATTATTGTTGACTATATTTATTTATAAGAATTGACTTCAATATTTTTGCTTTTTTCAGATATATAAATGTAACAATTTAGTGTGCATACTTTGCGTAAATCCGCTAAGTGGATTTATACAGTTTGCACACTGGCTTTTATGTTTATACCTCCATAAACAAAAAATATTGAAGTCATTTCTTAAATAACTATACTTGGTTTGTCATGACCATGTTGTTCAGTAATGGCAGGCATGGTGGGTGAGATATGTTGTTTAGGAATGGCAGGCATGGTGGGTGAGATATGTTGTTCAGTAATGGCAGGCATGGTGGGTGAGATATGTTGTTCAGTAATGGCAGGCATGGTGGGTGAGATATGTTGTTTAGGAATGGCAGGCATGGTGGGTGAGATATGTTGTTCAGTAATGGCAGGCATGGTGGGTGAGATATGTTGTTCAGTAATGGCAGTCATGGTGGGTGAGATATGTTGTTTGGGAATGGCAGGCATGGTGGGTGAGATATGTTGTTTAGGAATGGCAGGCATGGTGGGTGAGATATGTTGTTCAGTAATGGCAGGCATGGTGGGTGAGATATGTTGTTCAGTAATGGCAGGCATGGTGGGTGAGATATGTTGTTCAGTAATGGCAGGCATGGTGGGTGAGATATGTTGTTCAGTATTGGTAGGTGTGGTGGGTGAGATATGTTGTTCAGTATTGGCAGGTGTGGTGGGTAAGATATGTTGTTCAGTAATGGTAGGCATGGTCGGGGAGATATGTTGTTCAGTATTGGCAGGTGTGGTGGGTGAGATATGTTGTTCAGTATTGGCAGGTGTGGTGGGTAAGATATGTTGTTCAGTTATGGCAGGCATGGTCGGGGAGATATGTTGTTCAGTAATGGCAGTCATGGTGGGTGAGATATGTTGTTTGGGAATGGCAGGCATGGTGGGTGAGATATGTTGTTTAGGAATGGCAGGCATGGTGGGTGAGATATGTTGTTCAGTAATGGCAGGCATGGTGGGTGAGATATGTTGTTCAGTGATGGCAGGCATGGTGGGTGAGATATGTTGTTCAGTAATGGCAGGCATGGTGGGTGAGATATGTTGTTCAGTATTGGTAGGTGTGGTGGGTGAGATATGTTGTTCAGTATTGGCAGGTGTGGTGGGTAAGATATGTTGTTCAGTAATGGTAGGCATGGTCGGGGAGATATGTTGTTCAGTATTGGCAGGTGTGGTGGGTGAGATATGTTGTTCAGTATTGGCAGGTGTGGTGGGTAAGATATGTTGTTCAGTTATGGCAGGCATGGTCGGGGAGATATGTTGTTCAGTATTTGCAGGTGTGGTGGGTGAGATATGTTGTTCAGTATTGGCAGGTGTGGTGGGTAAGATATGTTGTTCAGTAATGGTAGGCATGGTCGGGGAGATATGTTGTTTGGGAATGCAGTAGATGTTTTAAAATTCTCATGAGAAATCATAATTGATAAATGTTGTTTTTTATATCAACCTCAACCAGCATCTAGCTAAAGCAAGGCCCTGCTACCACAGGGAGTCTTCTCAAGGACTCCACTTGAGCACAGGTTGATGGCATCCCCACCCAGTCGGGGTGCTGACTTACCCTTGACAGAAGCGGTCCTGGTACAGTTGTGCTGACTTACCCTTGACAGAAGCGGTCCTGGTACAGTTGTGCTGACTTACCCTTGACAGAAGCGGTCCTGGTACAGTTGTGCTGACTTACCCTTGACAGAAGCGGTCCTGGTACAGTTGTGCTGACTTACCCTTGACAGAAGCGGTCCTGGTACAGTTGTGCTGACTTACCCTTGACAGAAGCGGTCCTGGTACAGTTGTAGAGGATGGCAAGCTCTCCGAACGCCCGTCCCGGCGTCATCCTGCCCAGCGTCTGCCCCTCCTTCTGAACCTCCAGCTCTCCCTCTGGACAACAAGTGAGTGAGTGGGTGAGCATGTTTTTATTCCAGCAATATCACAGAGGGGACATAAAGAAGGGTCTTCACACATTGTGCCCATTTCAAGAATCAAACCTTGATCTTCACTTTTACCACTTTGCTACCCTTAATGAACAGATGAATCGCAAGAACATAACAAATATTGTATTGGATGAAAAGCATATTAATCCAAACCTCCTTTAGTAAGTTCTATTTCAGTAAGCATGGTTAACGTTTTATACCGCTCTTAGCAACATTCCAGCAACATCACGGTGGGGACCTCAGAAAAGGGATTCACACAATGTATGCATGCAGGGAATCGAACCAGGGTCTTCAGCGTGACAGCGAATGCTTTAAATAACCAGTCTACCCGAGCACCCACTTCTGTTTTTACCTTACTGACCCGAAAAAGAAATCTCAGGCCTAAGTAACAATACATTTTGCCTGAGTCTTCATGTCTGCAGACATTACAATCATTATCAACATTTATTAAAGTTATCTTAAGGGTTTCATTGAGATCAGATTTTCCTGTTCTAGACACCAAACTTAAAATCTTTCTTATCATATTTCAGATACACACTACAATTTGGGATCATAACTAAAACATTTTGTATTGTTTGTTGTTTAACGCCGCACTATATGACGGTGGTCTGTAAATCAAGTCTGGATCAGACAATCTAGTGATTGATAACATGAGCATCGATCCACACAATTGGGATACAATGACAACCAAGTCAGCGAGTCTGACGGCATGAGATATTATTTGTGATTCTTTCAATTTAACAAAATAAATTGTGTGGAGACATAGCCATGCTAGAATATGTAACAATCAAGTCATGCCTCCATGTTAACCTCCATTTATTTGTTTGAAATCCTCGTCTATTGGCAGTATCAATAAACATTTCAATATTTTTTTTATTCAGCACTGACAATTTAACAGGTAATTTCTAAAGACAAAATGTTTCTCCCAACTCCCCTGACTGATTACATAAGAAATCAGCCTGTTTATTTCTCCAACTTAGGAGCTGTCGACAGTGTGCCTTAGTCCATTAAACAAAACACCCAGAATCAATTCCCTCTTGGCTCAAGTAATAAAACCATTTTTGCCATAATCTGAGAATTGATTATTGACATAAAAACTCCATTTGACGGTGACTGTGAATGACTGAGATGGCCCTTCCCCTCAGAAGTCAATGCCACAGCCAGTCAGTAATCACTTCCCTTCGGCATGAAACACAAAGCACTGCTAGCTCTATTGGAGTTATCAGCCTTTTTTCTTGAAGCAACACAAGTCTTATTCTTAGGACTTGTAAAGAAATATTGGCTAGTTACGTGTGGGCACAACTCACAGTAGAGACTGGCCACTCCTGCAGCTGTAGCAGGTGCAGTGTTGGAGAAAATAAACATTCCTTCAGACAGATATGAATGAATAACAAACTTTGGGCAGAAATAAAAAAGAACCTTAGCGCTACGACTGACGTAAGTCTATGTTAAGGTATGGGAGTTACGATCACCTTAGCACTACGATCGCTTTGTACAACGGTACCCTATTCTCTGTTAAGAGATGGTCCCCAGGCATGGCAGATTAAGGATATAACATACATTGGACATGTTAACAACAAGTTTCTTTCTTCTCCAGAACAAGAACATCTCAGTAGAAATGTGCTCTTATAAAACCACCATATACCCTTTAAAATTCAAATCAAAATCACCATAAATCTACAGCTCATGATATTGTTTTCAATTTGGATGGATTGGTATATTTTGCACACTGAAATGTATCAAATGTTCTGTTGTGAGGAGCACACATGCTATGCTCTCCTGTCCTTTTCAGTGGTGTCTTCCTGGAGCTGTGGATGTATACACTGTGCTAATGGACGGTGTGAGCAGACGTATACATCCTCGGGGTAACTAGAGGTTCTGGATCAGCTGCTGAATCAGCTGGTACACAACTCTGGCCCTCGGGCATCCCACTGAAACATTCCCTCCCAACACAGGTTCTAATGAAGGGTTTTAAGCCCCATATACTCCAAGGTCATCTCGGGAGTGACAATGCTTGGGGCGTCTGCTTCCATGCTACCTTCACAACTCAAACAGTATTGAGTGAGTGAGTGAGTGAGTGAGTTGGGTTTAACGCCGCTTTTAACAGTATTCCAGTTATATCGCGGCGTGTCAGCTTAATGTGGGAGGAAAGCCCGAAGAGATGCAGGTCTCAGACGTTTACCACTTCGGTGAAACCCAGGAGCAAGGGTATGGTGCTGACAAACCTAGAAACATAATCGGGGCGAACCGGGATTCGAACCCACAATCATAGGTTTCTGGCGTACCCAAGGGACGCAACTCTGCACAGCGAATCGCAGCGCCTTAGACGACTGGGCCACCCGTGCCCCCTCACAAACAGTATTGGGTTTGTTTGGTTCAATCACGTAAGGCCAAAGATCCTGGCACATCATGACTGACTCTCTTCACCCTGTGTACTACGTCAGGTTCAACACACTGAGAATGATGGATGCCTTTCATGCACAACAGGCTTCAGGTTACTTCATATCTGTCCCTTTACAGAACACAATGTTGAAATTAGAGCCAGTCAGTACCTGTTATTTCATTGCTAATCACGAATGATACAGGTATATCCAGTGGTTGGAGTGAAAATTAAAGCCATTAGGGTAGGAAGGCAACAACATTGCCCGATAGATAAAACTATCTCACTTAACTCTTATCACTCTACTCTTACAACTCTACTCTCCACAGAGAACTCTCCGATCTCAACAACAGAAACTATTTTCTATTCCAAAAATCAGAACATCACGTTTGGTGAAAGAACTCTCTTTCAGATAATGTGATATGATCTCCTTTAATCCCTGCTATAAAGCCCACTCAAAACCCACCTTTTTAACAAACACTATCAATGCTAAGTGCACTGAAGACAAATTTGTGTGCCCTTTATGAGCTATATAAATACAAGCATTATTATTATTATTATTATTATCCCCCGCCCAACAAAGTTGGCGGGGGATATAGAAACGTCAGTACGTCACGTTTCGTTTCCGGAGTTTAACTCAGAAACCGTTCAATATGTTTTCATGAAACTTTGCAGGTCCGTCAAGTACATGCTGAACTGGTGCCTTTTGCTATTTAGAAATTTTAGAAATTTTTATTTTTTACATTTCCATGGCAACAAGATGGACTTAGGTTCCAAACTCTTCTTTTTTTTTACAATTTCCATGACAAGTTCCACCTCGGGTAAAAAAGGTTAGGGTTTGTTTAGATTTAATTATGTCATAAATTCTGCAACAGGGGCGGGGGATATAGCCATGTTAGTGGCAAACTCTTGTAATTATTATTGTTATTATTATTATTATTATTATTATTATTACTACTACTCCTTAGACACACAGTGAGCCATTGTGACCACATGATTTCCCACTTAGTTGGCTTTTACAAGTGAAACTGCATGTCAGATTTCACACAGTTTGTGTAAAAAATGCTTACTCTATGTGCTACTCCTTCAGTAAATACACCTAGGATGCCCAAATGAAAAGGCACAATTTTTGACCCACAAAACAGTCAAATTCTATATTTGGAGAAATGTAAAAAACGAGTTACCATTTTTGTTTCTTACACTTATATGAACATGTAGTTGCTGGTGGTGGTTTGTTGTTATAGCCACATGCAGCAATATTCAGCTATATGATGGTAGTCTGTAAATAATCAAGTCTGGACCAGACAATCCAGAGATTGACATCACGAGCATGGATCCACGTAATTTGGATATGATGACATGCATCAACTAAGTCAGGGAGCCTGACAACCCGATCCCGTTAGTCGCCTAGTGACAAGCATGGACCATCAAGTACACTGGTATGACCATAATGTGTGGAAAAGACCTGAAGAGCATTTTCAAACAAGAGCAAATCCTTGAATCAAGCTGATTCTTTAGATGGTCTAAACTTTACAAGTTAAAGATAAAAAGCTTCTTTTCAGCCATTGGCACACTTTTGAAAAGTTGCATACCGATTTATTCCCAAACTATGAAATTTGTGAACATCAGTGGTCAAAACAGCCCTTAACACATCTCATCCATTCATGGAAATGATACAAGTGGGTCCAACACAAGACAGGCTGGCACTCGTTCACCACAATGAATGTATTTTCACTTCCTGTGACGGCCTCAGCTGCCTTGGTGGATACTATCTTAAAGCGAGCTCTGCTGAGCGCACACGTTCATGTTTGTTCTATAAAACTGATTGCTCTTCAAACCTGACAATCAGCTTGGTTTCGGTCATTGTCATTTATTGTTGAACAGATCATAAAGCCTGCATAGAAGCAGGGTTCGCTCTTGTAGCATTTACCTCTTCACATCACAGAAGTCCGGGTTTATTGATGAACTGTTGTTATTGGGGCGAAATAAACAGGCTTATATGACCACAAAAAAGTGTTGGGCAGGAATCTTGATGAAACTGAGCTTGAGTTGTGTGGACGAACAACCAATAGATGTTCACTTCTGCCTATAGTTGGGCAATAAAATGCCCAAGCGTATACGCTCTGTGACACTCAATTAACAGGATATTGATTCAGGAATAACATAGAGAGGTCCCTCTGGAAACTGTCTTGGGGAGTGAGGGATGGTACTAGGCAAGGTTAAAACCACTGGCACCTTCAGTGGAATGTACTGCCCATGGTCAAGACTGTTGGTACCATTAAAGAAAGATATTGATTATAGATAAGACTGAAAATTTATCATTCACCTTCAATGGGAACAGCAGTGAGTACTGACCAGCACTGCTGGGTAAGAGGATCCACAAAGTGAAGGAGATTATCATCTGAGGTTTCAGACAACTCTCCATGTACACCAATCCTTGTGACCATCAGAGAGAGACTACCTGTAGCTGGTTGTTGCACAAAGGTTGTTGGGATATATTTTGTGAGGATAGTTAATTTTCTCCTAAACCAAAAAATCACTGAAAGTAATAGCAATTTCTGTAGTGGACTGAAATAAATCTAATGATCCTAACAGGCCTGTTCAAGTGGGTAGAACTGGCTGTTGCACACTGTTGAATCACTGAGGTTGCTATGGGATTCCTCCTGTAATAAACAGACCGATATTGTGTCCTATGCCACTGAAAGGTGAAGCTATTGTATCTGAAGTATTTATCACGATTCATACTTATTATCCAACCCTTCTATTCCCCTTTGATCAATACAACAGTTTAATCATCACTGCCAGCTTGCTCGTTAATCAGTAGCGCAGAAGACAGCACCAATCACAAAGCACTGTGACTTTATGACTGGACGTAGACTGCCAGACAATATCTGATGGGAATAGCCTTGCTAATGAAGCAGCTAACAGGCAGTGACACCTTCTCACATAAAACCTGAAAGGCCTGCACAAATTGTTGAAACTAATCATAGTGTATCGAATGGTTATTGCTTGGACAATCCAGTGGCTGGAGGTATGAATGAGGGAGTATGATGACAGTCATCACAACGAAACACTTGACAAGAATACATGGCCACCAATGTTTAGAGGAAGCACTTGTGGACACAACAGGAAATAGGTTCAGTTACCGTACAATCAATTCCTGTCACACTGATGCGGTGTCTGTGAACAAGGTGGTGTGATGGGTCTGCAGCAGTGGACGTGAGATACCGTCACACACAAGGCATCACTTACACTCTTAGCTGGTGCTCGGTTACAGGCATCACATAACACTCTCATCCTCACCACCATTTATGCATCAAGTGGTTGCTTTCAGGGGAAGCGAAGATTCAACTGACAACACGATCAGTTATTTTTGTAAGCAAAAGGGGAGTAGGTACCCTGATGCGACAGACTCATCCCTCTACATCCCTCACTCCCCTAGCAACTCACAACGCCAGTGTAACATCTTGTGGAGAAAACATATTGAAGCCACTGATCAATATTATACTGAATATCAAACCACAGATAATTTTTACAGCTTATGTATGCTGACACTCCATCAGACCTCATTTTACAAGAGTTTATAAAATCAAATTCAACTTGGACAGAAATGTTAGAAAACATAAAATGTCCTGTCTGTAAACTATGCACTGTAGCTCACCTGGATATGAAGTCAACAGTTTAAAAACACAAAGGACAGATATCAAACAAAACTTGCTGTCAGCATTGACATCCAAATAATTTCTAACACATACACACATATATGCAAAGATCTGCTCTCTCAATCAGCCAATTACAGAGGAGAAAAAGTTTACAGAGGCAAATGGACATTTTGGGAGAATTTAAGACCATGGTCAAACAAAGCCAAAACATAAAATATTGCAAAACTACCCGGAACATATATGTTCATCCCCACTACTAACTACACATTTACCAAATTTCATTACGTTTAGTAAAAAAATGTCTAAGTAATAGCTATGAATAACTTTTTAAATATGGCTGTCGTATCTGTGTTCTGTCAGTCATGCATTATGTTCAACCTGACCAGGAGATGTAACAAACTGCACCTTCACTTTCAGTAAGTTTTGTGAGTAACATATGAAAACACATATTTTTGGCAGTCAAGTTAGAATAAGTAGTTGTTCTACCGTAGGCCTGGAGGCACCTACTGACACAAGGCAGTTCCCCTTACTTCAGATGGCCGCAAACCTTGCCTTCTTGCCAACTTTCATTGACAATTAAGTTTCCAATTTGCAATTTCTGATTGTCTTGAAATGAGGTTTATGGACCATCAAACTAAATAAGGCGATACTTTTTTTTTTTTTTGGTTTACAGATGCACCGCTCTTTCAAAGTCTAAATGTTAAAAAAATAAATAAATGAACATTACACTTTTTTTTATTACCGCCGATCTTTTCGTCAAAAAGTTCAAACAAAAAAAGATTTTATTTCCTTGTCGAGCGAAAAGCAAAGGGAAGTCACATTGATATTTCTCTCTGGGATGCTTCTATAATACCATCAAAGCTTGTGAACTAAAAACAGCAGTGGTGACCAGTTTAACTCTTTCAACACTGTTGGCCGGTCAAGAAGCCACGAGTCACACCGCAGGGTAGACCGACCAAGTCACATCAAAATAGTTTATAATTTTATTAACCTACTTGTCATATCATTCATTTATTAAATCTATCACATATCACAATGTCTGAAATACATATTCCATTTGATTTTACCATTTTTTATCTATAGATTAAAACTTTATTTATTTGACACTATTTCCCGCAATGTTATTGAAAAAAATTTTCTCGGACACACTTCCACAAAGGGTCCTCATCGAACATTTCAAACAGCAAAATAAAGACGTTTCAAGCAAATCTTTGAATATATTATACAAAGTAATAAAATCAACAAAAATATATCTAAGAGTTTCCAAACTGACATCTAAGTTATCATTTCCATCTTTCCGTGCGGTCTCGTATAATCGTAAATCAAATGACATCTCGGCTTTCGTCGCCTCGATATCTCGGCTCGGATACAATGTCTTTAATGCCAAAATATATGCATAAGAAATCTTTGTCACAGCTCATAACATAGCACTATGCATCCATAAAGTTCCATATTTTTTAATATAGATCGGGATTTCATGCTTAAAATGTTCGGAATAACATGATTTAACCCAAACCCTTCGCCAAAGTCTGAAAATTACCTTTGCTGTAATGTGATTGGCTGCCTTAGGTCACTTGCTTAAATTTGACCAATCACGAACCTTGTAGCAGACTATGTTGGTGAAACAATATAAGTTTTTTTAATGTCTACTGACATGACAGCCTTCGACGTATGTGTTATTCATACGAAGCTTTGAAAACGGAGGTATTTCCTCATGTTAGTGAGCGGACAGCCACTATCATAAGGAAATTGGTGATGACAGATATTATTTGTAATTCTTTATAAAATAATGTTCTGACTACGCTAACAAATGAAAATAAATAAGAAATAGGTAAGTGGATTTTATGAAATCTTGTATTTGCCGAAAATCATTAAATTTTCGCTTCATTGGTCCTTAATCTGGACGTTATGAATGTTTTAGCTTACATTATTTTTTATTTAAAACAAACTTTATTAAGATGTTAACGAATTATTTAAATAATGTAATACATATAACTTTCATATTTATAAACAATAGGATTAATTAGACCTTTCAAATAGTGTATGGCCAAACATGTAGTAGCAAAGACCCATGCTGCCAAAATAGCAGCGTCTTTCAAGCATTTCCACCCATGACATGAATATTGTTATATTGCCATTTGTGCACAAGCTAAGTGCCAGGGATGTAATAAAATGTTCTTGAAAAATTGAGTTATTTTACTTTTGTTACTCCAGGATATTTTTTTTCCATACCTACCTAACTTTTTAGGACAAAATTCAAGTAAAACACATGTGAGAGGCTTTTTGCTTTTGTTTTTGAATTGCCCTGCCTCACTTTTGAAATGAGTTTGAAATCCGTAAACCAAGAAATAAAAAAAGTGTCGCCTAACTTCTCGGCCCACTATAACTGTGTGTGAATGTTTGATGATGACAAAATAATATGAACCATCAACTTCTTTTCTGCAACTGTAGTGACATTTAAAGAGACTTAGAATCCATACACTGCAACATTTCCACAATTGTAAAGAAGTTGACAAAGGTCAATTTAACTGCTGGCCCGTGCTTAATTAAAATTATGAAGGGCTTGCTGAAATGTCATGTAGATGGCCTGTCTGGCTAGTCAAAGTTACCCCCCTTCTCCATGTACTGTATTTTCTTGAGTTAAGTGCACACCTTTTTTCCAAGGTATACAGCTATATACAGGGGTTGCACATAATTCATGCTACAAGGAGTTTTGATTATTTTGCATTGCCCAATTCAAAGACATTACTGTGAGCGGTTAAACACTGGAATTACCATGTTCACAAATCAGTACAATTCAATCCTGTTAATGCTGTCCTATCTGGTCATAAAAAGTGTTCACTGTATATCTGTACTTATGTGATCACTCATATTTTTTAATTGCATTCTTAAATGTTTTAATATTTTTTTTAAAAACAAAAAAAAACATGAATGGTGATTTAGTAAAATGTACAAAATAGTGATATTAACAATAAACCTAATTTTCGGGGTGCTTTACAGTAATTTTGCTTTGCCTAAAATGACCACAGTGGGTATTAATGAAAAGAGAAGGACCCTTGGTTGGATGCGATGGTTGGATCAGTTGTAAAACCTCTATTCATGCATGACATTTCCAATGATATAGCGACCCCTGGGTCAACTAGCTCTTGTCTCCCCCCCCCCCATCCCCCCAAATGAGGGACTGACCTGCAGAGACATACAGATGCTGTCCCGATTCTCCTTCTTGTATGATGTGCTGACCCCGACATATTTTCTTCTCGTACATACAATCAACGATTTCTCGAACTTGCGTTGCATCCAGATTCTTGAGAAAATCGTTGTCAAGAATAGCATCTTTGATAAGCTGCTTTGATCTGCAAGCAAGAGAAACAGTTACATTAGTTCTATTTTTCACAATGATAAACTACAAAAAGGTTCTTATTGACAACATCAGACCAATTACCGTAGTCCAATGTAGCTCTGATTTCTTTTGAATGTGTCACTTGCTGGTAGATAGAAAACAAGGAAAATCAAACAATTTTGCCATGATTGACTTGGGGTGCCCAATCAACAAAGTCATTAATGTATTCCTGACCTGCTCTGCTATTTATACTTCACCTGAAACATACAAACTACTTCATGCTTCCTTTTAAAATGACTTCTTTTGAAATCCAATGGTAGATAAATACATGTTTTTTTGTAACTCTCTTTATAGTTTGGCTGGCTATGTAATCATTAACTGTGTTGTGATAGTAATCTCCGAGTCTGACCTGTAGACCACTGATCACAGCTTCCTCAATCTAGATGCCATTGAGAACCAATTGATGGCAGAGAGGGTTGTCCTCCAGGCCAGAAACACAACACACCCTTGTTTCATGTGATATTGACTTTTGACAACTATTTTGAGATGTGCATCTTAACCAAGCTGGGATGAAAGCTTCAACTTTGCTGCTACTTCCACCCCAGAATTGATGTTCTGTCACAAGTGATGCTGATAAACATTGCCCATTAGGGCAGCCAGCTATCATCTTCAATGTCATTCAACAACAGGCTAATTGTAATTAAACCCTATCATAGACCTGCCACATTTTGATCATAAAGTCTTAAATGTTTCCAAACTTAGATCCAGTTGTATTAGTGCCGGGATGGATGTTGATGCGGCTAGGAATGAGAAGGATACAACACTTGTGAAGGTTGAGATGACTGCTGATCAATCCGTTTATTCATTCCAAATATGTGCATATGAAGTTGGTGAAGGTTAGAGTGGTGAGACCTGTGTGTCTTGCGGTGGCAGCTAATGAAGGGAGAAATTAGCTGTGGATGATCAAAGACTTGTTTTCTGTTTGAGTCCTTTGTGGAGAGCCCCCTGTCTGAGATAAACTACCTTCCCAAGATGGGATTGCAAGAGGGCAGGAAGGAAGGAGTGATTAGTGATTGGACGAGGATGGTGGCAAGGTAAACATAAATGGTCGGGTATGTAGTATGGTGCTTCAAGTGGTGGCAATGGCACAAGTGATGTGGGAGTCAGGATCCTATCTATAACTTGACTGTCCATGAAGCCTAACTATGACCCGGAACAGTGGTCAGACGTACAGCCACTGCTGACATGTGACCTTGACAACCACACGTTTAGACCTCTTGAATACACATCCATCTCAAAAAGTTCTTCTAACTTGAAATGTTTAGGTGTCAACGAGATGGATGCAGTAAATATTTCTTCCGCGTTTAACCAGTGTTTAAAATATTCGTCTGCATGACAGTCTGAGCCGGTCTATTTTGCTGACGGACCATCAGTTTTGAAAAGTTGCATGTCCAGTGGGTGGGGGTTAAAGTTACTAACTTGACAATCCACCAATTCATTGTTATTTTCTGAGAACTAACATGAAACAGTACTATTCTTATATTAACCCTTTTGTTAGTTTTGTTTGTTAGCCTAGAGAATTCTGGACTGGCAACATTATATCTGTTCTGGTAACTTTGCAATGTTGCCAGTTCAGTTGTTAGACTGAAATTATGGAGAATTTTATACACTGGTTTAACTACAGTCACACCAACAGTGATTACAAAATGTACTTTTTCTTCTAATGGTTAGCCAGAGCAGTGTTTCCTCACATCATTAAGGTCATTATCACCGACCAAGTCTTGCTCGTCTGTTGCCAATGTGTAACTGAGTGCCGCAGATCAATGCTCCCTCACTAGGTAGCGACACCTGTGGACTCTGTGATGGACTGAATGGGGGCCAGGGGAAGGGGAGAGTGGGTGAGGTGGAGAAGACCTCAGGAGCATAACACAACCTAATTGATGTCTACTTGGATTTAGAAGGGAAAGCCGGACATTGAATCAATTCTGTACAAATATTCTCACAGTTCCTGCTCCCATCTGGTTGGTTCCAGTCTTGGACAGCTGGAGGGAGGTATTTCTGGGCCACTGAGGATCTCTATTACCGGGTCAAAGACCAGAGTCTGTGATATTCATTATCCAAGTGACTTTATAAATAAGTCTCAGAAGTCTAACACAGATTCCTATCACTACGACGAACATTACAATTTACAAAAGTGAGCATGGTGAGTGGTACCCTGACGTCTGACTATCCCAGCTGAATCATGTAGCATGAAGACGTTTGACATCATACACAGGACACACTCTGTCGGGAGCGTCATGACACAGGATACACACTGTTGGGAGTGTCATGACACACAGGATACACATTGTTGGGAGAATCATCACACACAGGATACACACTGTCGGGAGTGTCATGACACACAGGATACACACTGTTGGGAGTGTCATGACACACAGGATACACACTGTTGGGAGTGTCATCACACAGTATACACACTGTTGGGAGTGTCATGACACACAGGATACACACTGTCGGGAGTGTCATGACACACAGGACACACACTGTTGGGAGTGTCATGACACACAGGATACACACTGTTGGGAGTGTCATGACACACAGGATACACACTGTCAGGAGTGTCATGACACACAGGATACACACTGTTGGGAGTGTCATGACACACAGTATACACATTGTTGGGAGTGTCATGACACACAGGATACACACTGTTGGGAGTGTCATGACACAGTATACACACTGTTGGGAGTGTCATGACACACAGGATACACACTGTTGGGAGCGTCATGACACAGTATACACACTGTTGGGAGTGTCATGACACACAGTATACACACTGTTGGGAGTGTCATGACACACAGTATACACACTGTTGGGAGTGTCATGACACACAGGATACACACTGTTGGGAGTGTCATGACACAGGATACACACTGTTGGGAGTGTCATGACACACAGGATACACACTGTTGGGAGTGTCATGACACACAGGATACACACTGTTGGGAGCGTCATGACACACAGGATATGACACACAGGATACACACTGTCGGGAGCGTCATGACACAGGATACACACTGTCGGGAGCGTCATGACACACAGGAAACACACTGTTGGGAGTGTCATGACACAGGATACACACTGTTGGGAGTGTCATGACACAGTATACACACTGTTGGGAGTGTCATGACACACAGTATACACACTGTTGGGAGCGTCATGACACACAGGATACACACTGTCGGGAGCGTCATGACACACAGGATACACACTGTCGGGAGTGTCATGACACACAGGAAACACGCTGTTGGGAGTGTCATGACACACAGGATACACACTGTTGGGAGTGTCATGACACAGGATACACACTGTTGGGAGTGTCATGACACACAGGATACACACTGTTGGGAGCGTCATGACACACAGTATACACACTGTTGGGAGAGTCATTACACACAGGATACACACTGTCGGGAGTGTCATGACACACAGGATACACACTGTTGGGAGTGTCATGACACACAGGATACACACTGTTGGGAGTGTCATGACACACAGGATACACACTGTTGGGAGCGTCATGACACACAGTATACACACTGTCGGGAGTGTCATGACACACAGGATACACACTGTCGGGAGTGTCATGAAACACAGGATACACACTGTCGGGAATGTCATGACACACAGGATACACACTGTTGGGAGAGTCATGACACACAGGATACACACGGTTAAGAGCGTCATGACACACAGTATACACACTGTTGGGAGCATCATCACACACAGTATACACACTGTTGGGAGTGTCATCACACACAGGATACACGCTGTTGGGAGTGTCATGACACTCACACAGTTTCATCTTTAGCTTTTTTCTCTCGATAACTTTGTTTATGGGGTTCTTTTACAAAACTCAAAATGCATACATACAAATATAATGTTAAACAAATTTTTTGCAGCGATCTCAAAATTTAAGAAGACATGGCTTTTTGAGTTAATGATTATTTACTATTTATATTTTTATTACTAACATTTTCAAGTATTGTAAAAAGGTACAGACAACCTGGTTTAACTTATGCTGTAGCCAAGTCCAAAAATAAACCATTTCAAGATGCCTGACTTAGCGAGTGTGCATAAATGTATTATTGTTTTGGCCATATTCTAGCCAGATCATGACTCAGGACATGAAGAAATGGCATCACACAAATATGACAAATTGGTCCAGAGACTTTGGTCTTAACATTGCTTAAGGTAAGCAATGATGTAAGCTCATTCCAAGCGCTACTTATCCCACAACGAGACTAACATTACCACTTTATTTTTCTAGCCTTTGGGCTTTACTTATTGACTTTCTTTACCAACAATGCTAACCACAGCCAACCATGAACTATAACCATGAACTGGCAATTATGTTAATATCCAGCAATCTGTGTGCCACACAAAAATGAAAAGCTGAGATGAGCTAGGAGCAACCTCTGAATCCCCGGACATATTCCTGCTGTTCCCTCTAAGCCTGGACATCATACTCAGTATCAATAAGGCAGGGGACTGGGAGTCAATTTGCTTCTGGAAATTGTTACACTTCCTAATATTTGCAGAATTGATTACCATTTGCCGTATATTTGCAGAATATGGTTAGGTCACCACTGTGAGTGTCCCAGGACCCAGTGGAGTGAGTGTGTCAACACCTACCTGCACTGTCTCCTAGAATCATATCTGTGTGTGAGAATCTGTCTTATAACCTGGCTGGTACAGGGATGACGGTGTTATGAGCTATGACTGATGGAGACGGAGGGAGCAGGCTGTTCGGGGGATTTCAATTAGTGCGGGATCATTGACATAATATACAGAGATTGATATTACTGGCAGCAAATAGCAAACAGGCCACCTTGTAATCTGATTTGCCACCTGAAATATATATGGTTGGAAATTTCTGCCACTCACTGATTTGATTTGATTGCTTGTTTTGCTGCTCAGTGAGTGTGATGAATGAGAGTTAGTATGGGCTGC